GCCGTTACTTTCCTGAGGGTTTTTTGCCCTACAGCCACCGCGGTCACGTAGCTGAAAACTATGAATTGTTCTAGCAGTCATCCCCTTACGAAACGAATAAACTTAGATTGACACCAACAAAGGCTAATTATGTTTCTGTTCACTTATCTGTTTATGTCTGTCAGCTTCAGCCTGTTCGCATGTTTGAGGAAAGCAGCAACCTTGGTAGTTGGAAAAATGAAGCTGATGCAGAAGTGAAAAATCCTGCTGTTCGTTGAGTGTCCCCTTGATGTTAGCTGCAGAAGCAACGGAAGTCATGTTCTTTCCTTTTCTTTTCTCTGTTTGTGTTTTGTATTTCTCTGTTGTTGTCTCCCATCACGGCCCCCCCTCTTCTACTTTTGTAAAGCGTCCTTGGGTTTTGTGAAAGGCACTATATAAATCTAAGTTATTATTACACACCCATTAAAAAAGACAGTTTTTATAGCAGAAATGAACATGTTTACAGTCTGGTTAAAAAAACGTAATAGGTCTGATTAGCTCAAGTACCGATCAGCACACACTGTACGGGAGGCGCGTAGCTGACCTGATTGATGGGCAGGTGCGTTGTAATGGTATGTCTAGATGCTTAAAACCAGCCTCAGCTCCAGCTCTTAGCCTGTTGTTAGGTTGAGTGAAAGTTAGGGTGAAACAGCATTTCCAGTATGGCGATAGCCATCGACGGGCTTCCAAAGCCCCCTGCAGTCACAGATGAGTGACATCACTCATGCTTTGTCCATTAATATCTACAGTCTATGGTTTTGGTGTAAATGTGTCTTGAGGAAACACAAAAATGGTCCAGGAACAGTTATATTATTTGATCATAACAACAGAGCTGCATTTTGTGGCCAGACTGACTCCAGATCACTGAAACGCGCTACAAGATTGATGAACGAGATGCAGGCCCCCCACTGTCAGACAATTGAAGTGCGCATGCATTCGTGTGTGCGTGAGAGAGAGTCCACATGTGACTTACAGCCAGATATGACCACAAGCTCATTATCAAGGGCGTCTCAGGACCAGGGATGCCTCAAGGCAGGGATGCCTCATGGGAAAGCCAATGATTAAACACTCTCAAAGAAGCTCCCTGAAAGCTGAAGTGGCAACAACAACAAAAAAGACAGAGAAAATGTTTTTAATAAAAGTCACTCACATTTAAACAGAACAGTGCGTCGTAGCATTTTAGTAATTACAACTGTCAACAGTCCTATCACCTGACAAGGCATAGAACATGGCACGTTCTGTGCAGTGAATCCTGCTGTGTCACGCTTACTGTAATCCTCTTGACAGTCAAGTCTTGCAGTGAATAATTGATGCCAAAGATTACGACACGGAGGCCACCATCAAGAGAAACCCAAGAGGCATCAGCGCCGAGCACTGACCCCGGGAGCAGCCCTGCAACCAGACACCTCATCAGCACCTCTGACAGGGATATCCAATAGATCAGGGAGTTAGTGTGTATATGTGTGTTGGGTGTCTGAAATGTAGAAGAGTTTTAAACGAGCTTCTTAGCATTGGCAGGCTGCTTTAAGAAGGGCAGACAGGTGACAGGGTCAAATCACTGCAACTGACCACCAGTAATGATATTATCATCCACTGGTCATGGTTGCATTGTTGACTTTCGCTTTGATCTGAGCTTAGCTGGTAAAATTATTGGACTCAGTAGCACTCCTGTTGTAGTTTACTGCTCAGCAATGAGAACGTTTCCTGGCAACACTAAACCCTGCTCATAATTCTCAATGACTCTGCATACTGAAAAGCAGAGAGAGAATTTAGCTGGAAGGGTTATGAATGGGGCAAATACGTTTATGGTGGAAGCAGGGCAATAGTCATAGCTTCACAAAATGTATCTGATTTAAACAGCAGCTTTAGTATTACGTACTTTTAAAGCTTTAAAAAAGTTTTTGACAATGCATTGTGGTTCTGTTTCGAATGAATACAAATATGTGGGACCTGTTTTCTAGTTTTTATTTGGTTGGTATTAGCATATTTATTGAACACCATGTTTCTTCCAGGGAATAAAGTAATACAATATTTAAAAAAGATTCAGTTAATTAAGGTCGGACCATAGACTGTATAATGGGTCAGACACAGACTTAGTCAATAAAATAAATAATAATTTTAGGATGTTCAGATTTTGAAGTCTCGCCAGTCCTGGCCTCTGCCATCATTTTCTGTTCCGTTGGCTCAGGATCTTTGTGATGGACAGTGTGTTTTCATGCATTTTGGAGCTCTCCAGTGTCCTGGCCTGCCACCCAACTGTCAGTCTGAGCGTTGAGATGAAGTTTTGGATGCATATGCTGACTGTGCCAGCTCTGGCAAACGCATCCATATATGCAACATGTGTTAATGTGTGTGCACACATGCTACTTTGTACAACTCCCTATGGACTCTGACTCTCAGCCTTATCAATGTCAGAAGTGTGAGCCAGGCGCTCCATGTCGCCTTTTGCTTTGACAGACATATTCTTGGTGTTCTGTAGCTCCCGGGGTCTGGGTTGGCCCAATGGATGATGCCAGCACAAAAACTGCCCAGCAGCGTAAAACGGAACGGTGTCATCTACACAGCATCTGCTTTTTATGAGGCCCTTTCTAGAATTGAGGCATCTTGGTCAGTGGAAGCAAAAGGGACTTCCCTTATGATTTGGAGTGGAGGGTGAGAGGGATAGATTATTTTTTTTTATCATCCTTCTGAAACTTTGTGGCAAAGTAAAACTGGTGGGAGGCTTCTTTTTGGAAGCTTGGATATAGCAGTTGTAGTTTGTGTGAGACGTCAGATCCTTTGTTCTGATGATGAAAAGCAGATATGACATTGAGTAGTAAAACAAAAGGACCATATCAGTGGTTCTCAACTGGTCTAGCCTCAGCATCCACCATCATGAAAAATTGCTACACAAATTTCTGATATTTTTCAACCAATGAGGTTTTTTTTTGTTGCTTTTTGGGCCTTTATTTTAGAGACAGGACAGTGGACAGAGTCAGAAACCGGGGAGAGAAAGTGCGGGGAACGACATGCAGGAAAGAAGCCACTGTGCCATGTTTGAACATGGGCTGCCCTTGAGGACCTTAGCCTCTGCACATGGGGTACATGCAACAACCACTAGGGCACCGGCGCCCACAACCAATGAGATTTACTTGATGAAAAATTGTGCAGTTTGGACCTCAGATTCAAAAACATGACAGAACAAAGACACTAAGCAAAACAAATATGATTACAAAGCGCTTCATAGACTTTTGACAATTCTTTTCCCAGGCACACATTTGTGCCCAACTGGAAATAGCCCATCGACCCACTTTTGGGTCCCTACCCACCTGTTGAGAACCACTGTTCTATATAATAAAACTTTGACTTAAGAAAAGAGTTCAAGCTGTGGTCTTAAAGTATTGTCATGGCAACAACAGAAAATTGGCCCCTGCACTGTGTAGTATACCTCTATAAGACAAGCAAGTGGTCATCGAGTTGCAGGTGTGTAGTTGCTTTGAAATTGGACACATACTCAGGTTTACTATACCCACGTGAAATTATCTTCGACTAACACTGTGAAAGATAGTTCCAGTGAGATAGTTTTAACTTGTTATTCAGGGTCTCGGTCAACTGTGCCGGAAACCCCAACCCCAAGACAGGCAGCAGGGCAAGTAACAGGATTTACACAACCCCAAACTGTCTTTGTCCAGCAACAAACTCCCCTCTCTTTCCCCTTAGGCTCACCCTCTGTCCCCCACTGTCCAGCCCTGCCGCCTACCAGCTCTAAATCCTTTTTTTGATGGATTTCCCAGCAATCTCACTACTGCTGACATATGTGTGACACATGCACACTGTACACACACACACACGCACACACGCACACACGCACACACACACACGCGTGGAACATATGAAAGTTGGACCTTTTCAAGTTCCAACTTTCCAAAACAATTGCCACTTATTACAAAAGGACAAATCAGCATGACTTCATCCACTGTAGCTGCTGATCGGGTTCTTTTTCAACCCTGTAATTAAGAGCAAAATTTTTTTTAAAGACCTTACGTGTTCATACTGTTGGCATGCAGGGCTCTGTGGTGCACATTATGAATGGGATGGGTAAAAAACAGCAGGGAGGGGAAAGGCAGGACAGAGTAGCCGCAATTTAGTTTTCGACTGGCTCCACCCCACTCATCATGCTGTGTTGTTTTGTTGTGTTAACCATGACAACTGTATGAGTGGCTCCACATAGCTTTAGGATTATTCTGGGTGAGAGAGCTGAGCACATACACACGCGCGCGCACACACACACACACACAGGCAGGCGAGGACAGGCGAAAAGACGAGACACGAGGAAAGGAGGAGTGGAGACCAGAGAGGTGTAGAAGAGACAAACTGAGAAGTGAGGATGATTGGAGGAAGCAGGAGAGCAGAAACAATAATTAGAGTGCAGGATTATACAGGACTCTGTCTGAAGCTTCATACTGAATTACCAAAACCTTTTGAGTGATCACATTTACTCTGCATGAGCAGTAATATTCATGTGGTCAACAAGAGTAATCCCAACAACAACTGCTTTAACAGTTATGACAACATGAGGACAACAGCTGTTTCAATTATGAAGTAATGTTTTGAATCATTTAGACCACAATAACCAGCAGCGAGTCTGCTAGCCAGCCTGACTACGCATTTTCAAACGCTAGCCTTTTGAACATCTGGACACTCAATACTGCCTGTAGATCACATAGTGACTGCATATTTATTTTTATATCAGAATTAGCATTGGTACAAATTACATGGGATGTCATTCATGATATTTGCATGCCAACCATGCAGTGATTTTTTTTTTCTTATTGTAGACAAAGTTTGAATAAACTTAAAAAATTAAGTTTCTGTAGCCTATTTTTAAGAGTAAAACTCTTAAAAATAAATGCACAGTGGCCTCTGCTTTATTTTAAAAATGCAATATTTGTTATCTTATATGCACCTCTTTTAATATAATGTTCCCTCTTTTTTTTGTAGGAATGCCCCTTGTCCTCCTGCTAGCTGGGTTGACTATGGCTCTGTCCATCCCTGGCACTTCATCTGAGTCAGCCACGCTGCAGTTCCTGGGGCAGACAGACTTTGTTGTCAACGAGAGCAGCACAGCTGTAGTCCGGCTGGTTATAGAGAGAGTGGGAGACCCGGTCAATGTGACAGCTTTGGTTCTGGTAGGACATGGAGCAAATTCATCACTCATGACTTATTGTCTATCCATTCTCATCGACCTGTAAAATCATCTTATCCGTCTATATCCAATCATTTTGATGTACGCTGAGATGTTACTTTGTATACAGTTTAGGAAATAAAGAGTGAAAGAGCTTTCTTATTGATGGAAGACATCGGTCAGTTTACAGACCAGTGTGTTTTCTGTCTTGCAAAGAACGACTTTTGGCTTTATGTCCTCCACACGGGGGATAGTGTCAGCTGCTCACAGTGGGTGTCTGGTAAGAGGAGCTGGCCACACAGTGGAGAGTGGTCGGGGGTTTTGCCATGCCTCTTGATATCTTTACCATACTCCTTTACACACTAACTAATATACATAGAAAAACGTGTTGTAATATAAGGCTGTCCTTACAGGGGGAAATAAAGAATAGAAATTACCATAGACAGAGGAGCATATTGGAAGTCAAAAACAAGCTAATAAAGATTCCAGTATAAAGGAGAGAAAGGGACAAGGACACATTATCTGCTCTCAGTAGCAAAAAGAGATGAAACATATAAATAAAAACATAATTTGTCAGGCTTCCTATTGGCTCAGTTGTCTTATCATGTACCATTTAGTCTTGTATCTGTTGTGTCACATGTGCCTTACCTCAATGAGGTAATAGTCTTACTATAGTCCAATGTTTGTGATTCAGTTTTATGTCTGCCTAATTATTTCAGCTGGAGGGAGTGGACACTGGGGATTTTGAGGCTGTTAATGCTGCAGCCTTCTTGCTGTCCACTGAGTCCAGTAAGACCATCTTCATCGCTGTGAAAGATGATGACTTGCCAGAGGCCGATGAGACATTTACCTTTAACCTTACACTACAGGTAAATTATTTTGTTTTATTTTCTTAACCACTTATCAATCGTATTGTTGTCCTTGTGTGGCTTTTGTGGGCCAAATTCAAGCTTTAGGATTTATGAGGACTTCTTCTCCTATTTCTCCTTCATTGGCTCTCCTCTCTGGAGCTCCAAGGTTCTTTTACACATAGTTCCACTTTTCAAATTCTGTTCTAAACCCTAGACCCAACAACTATGCAGAATACAGAATGGGGGCGGCAACAGCAGTAAGCCTGAGCGGCTCTGATCTGCAGGGTCTTTGATGTGTCTGCTCTCCAGGAGCAGTCTGGGTGGGGCCAAATGTTGTGTGTGTCTCAGAGGTTCCCCGCTAAAAGACACCTTTGTAAAACCCAAATAACTTTGACAGCCGAAGCCTCACCACACAGTAGATTAAAGTGATTCCCTTATTCACTGTCTCCATTGACTTTGATGGGCATGTCGGTTCCGTGGATTTCACCCATGTATATGTTACTGTATGTGTTCACCATTGCCAGTGGCACACAATTGCAGATCAAAGCTCAGTCTGTGACTGAAGGAATGGATTCACAACAAAGTACATTAAAAGCTTAGCATGCATTTTGAGACTTTGTTGCAAACGGTCTTCAAATGGTAAACTTACTGTGTTGTCTGCTTGTTAATGTCAAATTGTTTGTTCTTTGTGTGAAGCTTTCACTGCTGCTTTCTTGTCCAGGACTCTCTTGTAAAATAGATATTGTATCTCAATGAAGATATAACCGGTAAAATAAAGGTTAGATTAAAAAAATACAACTTTCAAGTTTGTAAATATATTTCTATGGGAATAACTTTCAAATTCTTGTCAATGGGATTAACATCCCAGCCTAGAATTCCTTACACATAGAAACCATCTCCATGGTTTCATGTTGCCTTTAGCTGTCAAGCGTGATTGATGAGTTAGGGGGGTCTACACTTGTCTTTTGCATGTCTTATCTCTCTAAAGGACCTAAGAGAAAGGTCATTTTAAATCACTGAGTGTCAGCTGTGCACTCAAAAAATAGCTAAAAACATGCCCAATCACAACAAGAGGGATTTTTTTTTAGAGCATTTTCAATTTGTGGCTGACTTTTTGTGACACCTGGTGAAAATCCAGTCGCCCAAACCTGTATGTAGCCTCCCACTAAAGTGAAAGACCAGATGAGGCCCACTTGTCCCTTCTGTTTACACTAAAGCAAAGACAAAGCATTGACCAAATGCTGCCCTATCAGCTTACCAGAAGACTGACTAAAGCTGTTATGGCACAAAGCAGGTGCAGCCTACCAGAGCTGTGGGTGACCAAAAAGGACAACCGCACAGAGTTGTAGTGTAAATCAGGGGAAGAAGGATTCATGAAATGCTGCATGCATGTATTTAAGCAGAATCTTGACAGATTTCTAAAAAGTATATATGATATATACCACGTAACAATCATGTGAATTTATTACCTAAAGATAACTTGATTGGAGTTTAATTTAAATCTAAATAGTGTATTGGCACATGCTTTGTGAGTGTGAATCACATTGATATTTGAATGTGTTTGTGTAGATGGACACTCAGTGTGCGTGTGTGCATATGTGTCTGGGCAGCTTCTATGCTTGGCCAGTGGCTTGGCTTTGTGCAGTTGAGTAGATTCTGTGACTGTGAGTTGACCGCTACAAGAGCTCAGCAGCCAAAAAGAAAGCTCTGTCACAGCTAGGAAGGGATGAATGCAAAAGCCATAGCACTTTCTTGTTTCTCATTTTCTCCTTTGTTTGTTCTCACCTTAATGTGCACACACACACACACACACACACACACACACACACACACACACACACACACACACACACACACCTTCTCAGTGGCTTTTGCGTAGGACGTAGAAATGGACCGGGATTGGCTGAGAAAAATGGAAAACATTTCAAAATAGTTTTTGGGGATAACCCTGTGTTTCTGTTTATCATCTTTGTCAAGACTCTAATAGTTGATTAGTTTGTTTTGGAGGTTTCGACGGAAGCCTCTGCACTAGAGTTAGGACATGGTTGTTCTCAGCGATGTTGTTCCATGTTGTTCCATGAGATGCTTGTGAAAACATTGGTCAGCTCACTAATGGAAACCTTGGAAAGTTTACCCAAATAACAAGGCTGTGGTCTCTCTTTTTCCAGAAAAAGGGAAACCCTCCTTTCAGATCCTCATCGATAATGGTTGTATTTGTTAAGTTAAAAGACTCAGAGTAAGACTTGTAAAGTCACTGTGTGATGTTAAGTAAGCTGAGATTTTTAGGTTTGTCAGGTCTTAGTGCCAAATCACAGAGCAAACAGCAAGGCCTTAAGAGGTATCCTACTGTGAGCTAACCTGACAAATCAACCAGGCTGAGACCAGAACTTCCTGTCTTTGTGCCATCTCACCAGGGTCTCTCAGTGGGAGAACAGAAATGAAGTGAAAACACTGGATTAGGCAGATGTTCTAGTCTTTCACTACAGCACTACAGAATCTGGGGAGGGTTCAGATGTGCTATGGTACAACCTGTATGTTTAACCTGCTTATATCTAACTTATTCCTTCCTTCCTGCTTCCCAGAGCTCTTCTAATGGCGTGACGCTGGGAACGCCAAACAAGGCAACCATCACCATCCTGTCCAATGACAACGCCTTTGGAATAATTGCCTTCAACTCTGTAAGAAACCCCTGTCCTTCACATACAGCGTGTCTTGCTTCATAATTGTGCACATATAAGTCCACTGATATTATTAAGTAGTGGAAGAAACTAAGCAACGGCGATGGAGTTATTTGAGTTATTTGAACCCATTGCTGCTCAGAGAGGTTCAGTCGTGGGGGTATTTGGTTCTGGGAGAAAGAAAGAAAAATGCCTAGAGGTTGCGGGTTTCCAGGGGCAATTAAAACCACAATACTTATCAGTGGGAAATGTATGGTGTTTCCATGGTAGCTGTGTGGAATATTAGGAACTGTTGACTCTAGCAGCCCCAGACGGTTTCATATGCTGGATAATGATTTTGCCTTCTTAGAATCAATAAAAGCCTCCCTGCCCTGGGAAATGTGTCGAAGTTAGAGAGCTGGAATAATTTATGTGTAGTGTTCTTTAATCATTGCAGTTTGACTTTTATTTTGAAGAAAGAAAACAAACAGGGATGTCATTTCTAAATCTTAACACGACAATAAAGGCCTTTTCTCTTTTTTTTACATGTATATATAAATGAACAAATAAATTAAAGTAAGTGCTATATATAATTATTGAATTTGATTTTGTTTGTATTATTGTGGAACGCGTTGTTCAGTTCAAGACAGGGTTTAAAAAAATATTTGGTCTATAAGACCAGAAACACAATTAGAAAACACACAAATTATTTATTATAGTGAATAAATCCTAATGTTTCTTTTCATCTCTATAAATTACTTTACCTAACTTCTGATCATCAGACTTAAACAACCATCCTGCAGTGGAGATCATTGCTTTAATAGTGTGGGCTCCTTCTTTACTGACATAAACACAAAGCCATGGAGATTTGTATTACCGGAATATTTTGCCATTTAGTCAGAATAACAAGTCTCTTTTTTAAAATGAATGTGTTAGTAAAGAAGCTAAACAAGCACAAACAAACAAACAATCAAGGGTTCTTGATGTGTTCAGGACCCATTTCAACTCAAATACATGGTTTGATCTTGATTTGTTTTTGAAACTACATTTAGCTGGTCAGGCTGTTTGTGTTACTCAGTTTCACTGCTTTATCTTTCTTTTTCTTTTATTTTCAGACTAAAGAGATTGTTGTCGATGAGCCAAGAGGAGTGAACCATTATGTGCCTTTCACCCTAGTTAGAGAAAAGGGAACGTACGGGACTGTGACCGTGAACTATGAGGTGAGAGGGCATTGCAAAACCTAAGACATTGACTTTCTGAGAAAAGTGCTCAGGTATAAGGGCATGCTGAAGTGTAAACATAACTGTGACTCCTTCTGCTCAGATTTCTGATGGACCTAACCCTGCCTTTGAGGACCTCAGTCCAGACAGAGGGAACATCACCATTCCTGTAGGACAGTCAGTGGTGCAGTTTATTGTCCTCATACAGGATGACCAGGTAAACAAACACATTTTTCTAAGATAATCAACAAATCTAATCTTTAATGATAATGTTACACATGGTCACTTGTGTTCATCTGTCCCTCCATCAGTCCGTCTTTTGTTTCCTGTTGACGTTGTTTTCTTGAATATTTATGAAAAAAATCAGAGGTTGATGAAGTTCATGAACGTAATACTCATTTATTGTAAAAAATAATTATATGTTTGAAAATAAAAAGATTCAGATTGCTCTGCTAGGTTTTTGTAGCTTTTTAGCTGAAATAATAAAACAATCAGAAAGAGCAAACAGATATTTTTTTAGCAAATCTAAAACTTTATGCCAGTATATTTTTTCTTTGTTTTCAGATCCCAGAGGATGACGAGGTTTTTACTGTCAGGCTAACCAGTGTGGCAGGGGGAGCTCTCCTCAAGCCTAACGCCAGCAGTGTCCAGCTGAGAATCAGGCGTAATGACAGCCCGCTGCGCTTCTCCACCTCTATCATGGCAGTACAAGAGTCGACTGGAGTCATTGCCCTCAATGTGACCCGTGGTCGACTGACCGAGGATGGGCCACTCGTTGGCTCTGTTGACACGGAGGTTAGTTTATATACTTTACGCTATCTATTTTTCTAGACTTGTGTTAAATTATACATTTTATCACATGTGACCAGAAAAATCAACCAGAAGACTAATGTATATAAACTGAACTGTACTGTCTTTAGGTCTCAGTAGATTACAAAGTGGTGAGCGGAGAAGGACTGGGCAGCGCCACAGCGGCGGTGGATTTCCTCGATCTACAGCCGGTCAGAACAGTTACCTTCCCTCCATTTGTCTACAAGACCAGCCTGCTGTTCAACATTAGAGATGATGACGTGCCAGAAATAGCAGAATCCTTCCACGTGGTCTTTCTGGAGGAGACCATCAAAGGAGATGCTGTGCTAGTATCACCTAATGCGGTGCTAGTGACCATCGAGCCCAATGATAAGCCTTATGGAGTCCTGTCAATCAGCAGCAGTGCAGTTTTACACCCAATCATCATAAATGAAGACCTAACACAGAGGTAGATCATTTACAATCATTTATAAAACTCTTCTGACATATGATTGTTTGTCTAATTTGAGCTTATGGTGTTCATCGTCTTTCATATTTTCCTATTCATATTGTTTCCCCTTGTTCCTCTGTCATTATCCCTAGATTTGAAGGCATCATTATTGTAAGAAATGGAGGAAGCTATGGTGCGGTGTCTGCCAACTGGTCCATCAGTAGAAACTCCAGTGACCTCTCCTCAGTGTTGGATGATTTGAGCCCTGCAGAGGGAACAGTGAGATTTGCTGCCGGTACAGTAACGGCTGTGATTCCAATAAACATCGTGGCAGATGATCTACCTGAAGAAGCAGAGGCTTTTACGCTCAAGCTGCTACCAAATACTGTAACTGGAAACGCAGAGGTTGATGAACCCATGGAGGTTAGTTATAAGGAATTCTGACAGGGTAACTTTATGAATAGCTTCTCTGTGTTGGTAAAACATGTCTGAAACATACTGTAGAGAAAACAGAGACATGGCTGCACTTGTCAGGAAACATATATACTCCAGATGTCGTGCATGTGTTGTGTGCGTGTAAGCGTTTCTGTTTAATCCACTGGAAGGTACAGTGGCAAACTTGGCACAATCTACAAAAGTCGACCCCTTGGTGTGTCACTTTGCTCTGTGGGTGTTCCCTTTATGTGGCTGAATCTAAACAAAGCGGAAACAGCAGGCCCACTCTGTGTGTGGTGTATGTGTGTGTGTCTGTTTTTTTGGGGGGGGTTTGAAAGCGTGGGTGAAGTGGTGACAGCTTTTTATAGCTTCAATCCCTGTCCAAGCCTCTCTTGGCTATGTGTGAAAGAAGTGGGCAGATCTAAGTCTTGATTATATTGAAGGCATATGATGAGACACATACAAACTCAACTTTGGTCACATACAAACACACACACACACACACACACCAACAAACCACCTCAGCTTGTGAAGTTACAGGGTGTGTTTGACATCTGTGCAGAAAGTGTTCTGCTCTGCCTTATTTATTCCTTGAAGAATAAATTCACAACTTTAACAGTAGGGCAGGTTGATCAGTTTCATTGTTATTAATGTTGCCAGGGATAAATTACAGACATAATGACTTGTAAATCAGTGATTGTGAACACATCAGACAAGTGTAGTTTTACAGGAAATGAATGAGCCTCTTGCCCATGGACTACCCTCATAGTCCTAGCACGGTTAATTAAAGAGGATGGCTCTCTAAAGTTAGCTCATGGCTCTCTTTTACTACTTTCAGTCTCACTTTTTTTCCTCCCTCTCTCTGTTCCTCACCTCTACTTTCTTATTATATTTACCAAAGATGCAGCTTAAGTTCCACAAAAACAGGAAATGCAACAAAATCCTCCCTAGTAACTGATAGTAAATCCTGGCTTCTTTGCAGTTCTACCCTTATATTATGAAAATAAATCCCCTCTCTCCTCCCTGTGCTGCCCAGAGGTGCTTATCCTTGGCAGTGCAGCAGCAGTTAAGGCCTTTTTTTAAGTTGCAGAATTAATAAAAATGAGTGTAAGGCACTATTTGTTGCAATAAATAAGTAACAAGGTTATAGTAAATCAACAAAGCTGGTGTTATAACTTTCTTTTTCTACGTTTTCAAGGAACAGAGAATGTTTATGATCATTCCCTTCACCAGTTAAAATGTCACATATGCTATTTCTCTTTCCAATTGCAGTTGTTTTAAGTTCCTCTTTATCTTCTTTCTTTCTCCATTTTTCCTCTAGGTTGTGTTCTACATTCAGGACAGTGATGACGTTTATGGGCTTTTTCACTTTGACCCGGCGAAAGAGCAAAGCATTCAAAGCCAACCAGAGGGCCGTTTCTTGTCACTACATTTCTTGCGAGATGGTGGTACACTGGGAGATGTGACTTTGACTCTCACGGCACTCTACATTCCTGCAGGCCCTATAGACCCAGCACTGGCCCGAGATGGGGTTCTGAATGTTAGCAGGTCCATTAATGTTGTGTTTGCCCGTGAGCAGATGGTACATGTTGTACTGCCAATCAGGAATGATGCCTTTCTGCAGAATGGAGCTCATTTCTTGATACAGGTAACACGTTTGAAACAAAGAAGGAGCAACACATAAGTTATTGGAAAAAATACGATATATTATTGATTTTTGTTAATGGTTTTATTTTATCCTTATACTTGCCAAATTAGTCTAAGAAAGTGCTTTTCTTTTTCAATGTTTGCACTTCAAGCCAAATCAGTGCAATCCAGAGTTGAAGTGCCTAATTTGCATGTGTGAATGGTTTGACACTGGCACTCAAATCTGGCATGTATCTATGGGTTTTGCTCAAGTGTTCGAAATAACAATATCAACTAGGTCTTAACTCAAGCAAAAGAAAAAAGGGTGCAAGAAAGGCTATTTTACTTTCCATATAAGCAGAATCATGCCACACACCTTTAGAGAGAACCTTCAAGTATACATGCACATTCATTAATGGAGTGAGAGGGGAACCAACAGGCATTTCAGCACATCTAAATAAGGACAGAACAGAAATGATCAGATTGGAAAGTTGAATCAATGACTGAAGCATTGTGTGTTATTAGTCAAGGCTTCCTCTTATTATCCTGTTTAAGCCATTTAACACAGTTGTTTGTTTCTATTTCCTTTAGTTAAATACACTGGAGCTGGTTGACATCAAACCTCCAATTCATTCAAACAGCCCGAGGTTTGGTGGACCTTTAAACTTAACTTTGACTGTCACCCCTGACATCGCTAACGGGGAAATCGGCTTTACCAGTAACACCACGGTGGTCCTATATGAACCAGAGGACAACAATACAAGCACAGTAAGTTGTAACTTAATAGTATCAGTTCTGTAATACTACAGTATATGCAGTATATAACCATAACTTATCATAATTCGTTTAAACATTATGTATTTGTTGGGGGCAGGTTTGGTAGAGCAGGCGCCCCATGCACAGTGGCGATGTACATGTGGCGAGACTCTTTCAAGATGTCCTATCAAAAAATGATCAAAAAAAAAAAAAATGCTTTTGTTCATTTGTAAATTTAAATGACAGAGTCCTCAAAACCAGTCAGAAAACTCCCCTTGTCCTTGCTGGCTTGTATTTGTGTTTCAAAGTGAGTTATCCTCTTGTGTGTACAGTTTGTATTGTAGTGTAATTCTTATCATGTTTGTACCGCAGGTCAGCATCCCTCTTCGACGTGATGGGACAGACGGTCAGGCTGAAGTGTTCTGGAGTCTCCAACCCACTGGAGCCAATCAGGAGATATAACTGCTAAAGACCTCAAGCCTCTAAACGGCTCTGTTATCTTTCTCTCAGGGCAGAGTGATGCTTTCATCAACTTCACTATCCTGGCTGATGATATCCCAGAAGTAAACGAGACCTTACTGCTCACTCTGGATAGGTAAGTGGATATAGATCTTGCAGATTAGTTCATCATCAAAATAACTGTGTATTCTGATAACTATCATTTACACATCTAAGATACAAATTACCTTTTGGGGTTTAGATGAAGAAGTTGAAAGTTTGTTGTGTTTCAGAGTCAACTTGTAAAAAAAAAAAAAAGTTGAGTGGGTGGTTTTTTATCTCACCCCTTCCCTCCTTTGGTATTCTTTAGATAAGTGTGTATGTATGTGTGTTTGTGTAGCGGTTTTGGGGAGGGGGGTGGGGGTGGGGTTGTATCTGCTAGTCTATTTTCTGATGAGTATGGCTGCTCTCTCCCCCTCCCACTCATACCCCCTGCAGGGTGGAGACTGCACGCTTTATAGTGTACTTTGGGTAAGTGGAGAGTGGAATGAATCTGGGCCTTTTGTGTGGCGTGAATCAGGACTTTGTTTTTCAGAGAAGGGCCTACTTCAGGTTTTCTGGGGTCTTTAGTTGATGTGGGGATGAGGGGGGACTTAGGTTGGGTTGGGGGATCAGGCCGGGTGTGAAAAAAGGAACCCAAAGGAGAGTGGTTGTTGGTAGTAAATAGAGAATCTTCTATTTGTGTTTCCTTCTAATTTAACCAGGCTTGATTGTGTTCTCTTTTAAAGATGTCAGTGTTTGTATGCATGCAGAGCCCTGGCTGTGACTGTTTGTTTGGAGTGCTCCTTTCTATCATGGCTTTGTCCCTAATTTAGCCCTTGTGTGATGCTTACTTGGCTCCAGTTTTCTCAACATACACACACATACATACACCCCTGATGAGCAATAAAGATGCAGGCATGGGGTTGACTGACATTGTTATTGAAAGTGGCCCAAGCGGCAGGACCTCAGGGTATGGAGCCTGTGATGAATAAACACTAAACAATGCCAGGAATATATTAGAAAGTTTAGATTGAAGTTGAGCTGTTACATTGTGTGCTATCACTTGATTATCCAGATGCTATAAAAAAAGTCCCACAAAAAAGACAAGAACAGAAAAAGACGTTGATACTTCCATTACAGAGTTTTCATTATATCTACAATTTAAATTATGTTTCTATCTGACTTTTGAGTCCACAGTGAGTTCCACATGTACCTTCAGGGAGGGGGTAATGACTGTTTAAAAAGTTGTCATTTGCTACTATAATCTTAAACTGTGTACTTGTTTATTTGTGTGTGTGTCTCAGGAGTATTGTTGAAAACCAGATCCTGAAAGCTGGCTTTACCAGCAGAAAGATTGTCATCATGGAGAATGATGACCCTGGGGGGGTGTTTGAGTTTTCCCAATTTTCGAGAGGTCCATGGGTCATCCATGTAAGTCTGTAAATTGCAATGTTATACTAGAGGACTTTATCATTGTAGAGTGTTTATGTTACGTCAAGCCCAACAGGTGTTGTTGTACTCCAGTTGTAACCGGTTTTGGTCACCTGAAACATGTCAATTTTAAATGTATCCAGGAGGGGGAAACCGTGGAGCTGCATGTGGTCAGAGCTCAGGGACAGCTTCTCAAACAGCTGGTTCGATATGCTGTCATGCCTTCAGGCAACACTGAATTCTACGGCGCCACAGGCATCCTGGAGTTCAAACCAGGGGAGAGAGAAGTGGTGGTGGCACTTGTGGCGAGGCCTGATGGGGTGCCTGAGGTAAGGTCATGGTCAATTCTATTTTGACCTTGATATAATCATTTCATTTACTACAAGATTTCCAGTCTGTTAGCAGAATAATCTTCATGTTAAGAAAGTAACAAATATATGCTTGATATGAAAACTTTGTGCGTTTGTGTTTTTTTACCTGTGTGTTCATACAGCTAGAAGAAACTTTCTCGGTGGTACTGAGTAGCCACAGTACTCCACCCAGTCGCCTTGGTAACCACAGAGAGGTTAACATCACAGTGCGAAAGAACGATGACCCCTTTGGCGTCATTGAGTTCATCCAACCAGGACTGACGGTGGCCATCAATGAGAGCAAGGGGGACGAGATGCACCAGGGTACTTTGAAGTTCAAGTTCTTCAGATAATAGTGAAGATTCTTCATCTCAAGTTGTATCTTATTCACACTTTGAGTGAACCACAGCACATTTGTCCTCAAGTTGGATAATGATGAAAAAGATGAAAGTACAGTATGTGTTAAAGACTACTTTAATGTGCCAGCTTAAGAACAACATGTATAATGATAGTTTAATGCGTAAGAATGTGTTAACACAGATAAACGAGTGCATTTGTCAACTCGTATAGTCATACATTTGGGCCCAAAACTGATGATACAATCTGGTCGAAAGTACGGTACATGGAAAATCAAAAAGCCTTCTACAATTCTACAATTAACTTAGCAGACGCTTTTATCCAAAGCGACGTACATCAGAGTAAGCACAACTAATCCATTCATACACCGCCACCGAAGCAGCGAGATCAATGCAAGGTTAAGTGTCTTGCCCGCCTTCTCTCAGTATTTGTGACTGTATCGCCATTGTTGCTCTTTACATACAGGCACACATAGGAGCAATACAGCCAAACTGTTGGGCTGTAAGCAAGGGGACATTTTTTTTTCGTATACTATATCAAAATGATAGCCTTTACAAAACACGAAAGACTAAAGATGAAAAGAAAAGTGCATACACAAGACTTGATGGAAGGTTTGAGTATCTAAATTAATAATCTTTCTCTATTGTGATTTTCTTCCAGCGGTGTACCTGTAGTGAGGAACAGAGGTCACTTCGGAGAAGTGTCAGTCTCCTGGGTCCTGGAGCCAGCACTGTCTGGAGACGTGAGCCCCATCCAGGGAAATATCACCTTCACGGAGGGGGAGAACCTCAAAAACCTCACTCTCTTCTCTGTTCCAGACGAGGTACAATTAAAAACTCAAATTATACATGCAGTCCATTATAAGGTTCAGCCATTGTTTGACTTTTCATTTTCTTTCTGTTGAAGCTCCCAGAGGACATGGAGAATTTCACCATCACATTGTTGAATGCTACAGGTGGTGCAAGGCTGGGAAACAAACTCAGTGCCATTTTACACATTAACAAGAATGATGACTCCATTTACTTTTCTGGTAAGGATGCATTTCTGGATCCACTTTATATAACGGAGATAATATCTATGTATATTAAAGCTACACTCATTCACTCCTCTCCCTGGCTACCTCGCCATCTCTACTTCCACCTCTTCAGAACCCGTGATTGTACGACTTCAGGAAGGTGGCATAGCCAACTTCAGCGTTCTGAGGGCAGGGAGGGCAGACTTTGTTGCGACGGTAATGTATCGTGTGGACTATGGAAATGCATCCCCAGGTGACCTCACCTTGCTGAGTAATGACACGCTGCTGGTGTTTGACGTGGGCCAATGGATAAAGAACATCTCAGTTGCTGTAGAAGATGACAACATACCGGAGACTGATGAGCCCTTTTACATTGTTCTCTACAATGCTACTGGTGAGTCTGTGCGTCTTTCTTAATATGTGGTCGACTCGGCAGTTTTATTATAAGGATGCCTTCTGTGAATAAAGTACTTGGGTCATGTAATATAATTGAGCGTCCATATTTCATATACGAGATAATAAAAGTGATATATCCTGCAATTCATCTTGTGCTTTCGGGAGTTGCTTTTTTCCATGTGCTTCAAGAACCAGGCAATCACACCTTATCTGAAGAAAACATGATCCCCTTCTTTCTCCCCTTTTCACTCCTTCATCTTGATGTCAGAGGAGTAGCTAGGTTATTAAGAATTGTTTGTGGTAATGCTGAAAGCTCGTTTAATCCAAGTATTGTGTGTCAGGGATGGGAATAAAAGACCAGCGGGCCCCACCAGGACCTTAATTACCCGACTCCAGACTTTCTCAGACACAAAGACGAGCCACTCTACTGGCCTCTCTGTTTGCTGGGTGACACAGAGGAGAGTTGAGTAAGGGTTAGCCTCTGGTTTAAGCCAAGGGATTCTCCTTTATAGTGGCCGTGTTAAAAGTCAATAACCCTCATGTTGAAAGTCAATCAAGCTCACACCATGAACATCTTTACCTCTCCTTTTTTGATAGGAGCAAATTTGCATGCATGCCACAGTTAATTCATCTCGCTGATCAAAGTAGTGCTTGTGATTGGCTGTTTCAGCTTTGGGAGTATTATTTCATCAAAATATCATCCACTTGTATTTATTCATTTCTTATTTTTCTAAAAATCTCAATGAAAGCCACTTGTCAAGGCTCTCTCTGCTGGGATGCCTTTATCTTCCGAAGACATTTTTCAGGAATAAGATGCTCTGTCCTCATGGGCCTGGTTGTCATAGTTATGGTGCACTTGTAAATAAAAGAGCTCACTGCATTGCATGAAGCATGACAATAATACATTTGCCAGTGCGGTTTTTATTGTCTCTTGCTTTTATTTAACTATCTATGCATACATTCATTTCTCTATGTATAGTCTAATATCTTGCACATTTACACAGGTGATGCCGTTGTATATGGAGCAGATACAGCTACTGTGGTGATTGAGGCCAATGATGACGCCAATGGGATTTTCTCCCTGGAAGCCACAGAAAAACCGGTCAAAGAGGGCAATACCAATCATTTTTAGTAAGTAACAGGTCTTCAATTCAATATTTCTTTAGTGCTGAATATTTTGATTAAGATAGTCTTGAATAGTTTTTTAAGGTTTATTTTGGGATAGGACAGAGTCAGAAATCGGGGACAGAGAGATTGGGGAATGACATGTGGGAAAGTAGTAACAGGTCTGGAGGACTACAGCACATAGGGTGTGCGCACTACATCACTACATCACTACACCACTACACCACCGGAGCCCCAGTCTTGAATAGTTTAATATGGGCTTAATGAGGCTGTTCATATTGAAACAATTTTTTTGGAAGAATTGGCCCATTGCCAAAAAATACACAGGCATTGTGATTATAAAGATACAATGTTTTCTTTTGTGTTCAATGATATAAATGATGATCCTTTTCTTGTCTGCTCCAGTGTCCTGCGTACCAGAGGACATTTTGGTAACGTTACAGTTTTCTGGCAGCTGTTTGCAAATGACTCAGAGACTCCTCTGGAGGAAAACCAGGAGTTTACCAACATATCTGGCTCCATCACCTTCACAACAGGGGAAGAGACCAAACCTATCGTTCTGGAAGCCATCTCAGATAAGCTCCCAGAGTTCAATGAGTTCTTTATCCTCAGACTGGTCGACATCTCAGGTTAGTTCAGAATAAAAGTGACATTCACTTCTGTCATGGAGATTTTAATTTGCAATCATATTTTATTGGAGTCATCTGCCTTTTAACCTCCATACTGCCAATTCCTAAGTTAAGGTTGAGCTTGTCTTGAAAACCATTTGAATTTTAAATTATTTGTTTAGGAGGCCATCCGGGGGAGGGTGGACAACTTGCAGAGACTTCCCTGAATGTTCAGTTCTCATCCCTTTCAATGACGACCCGTTTGGTGTCTTTGCCATTGCGGACAGCAACCTGGACCAAGAAGTAGCTGAAGATGTACTCTCAGATGAGGATATGGCCGATGTCACTTCTTTCACTGTCCTTCGCCAGCAGGGTACTTTTGGTGATGTGCGTGTCGCCTGGGAGATTGTATCTGGACACTTCCCAGAGGGCCTTCCTCTGATGGATGACCTGCTCCTTCAAGCCTCCTTCCCAGATGAGGTTCAGCTCAGGCCTCATGCCAGGCGACACCACTCTGCCACAGACACATGGTTTTTCTCCGGGCTCCCGGGGGCTTATGGGACCATCTCCCCTGAAGATGGGCCGGCTGCTGTTTCCAACTTTACCATTTCTGCTTGGCTTGTGCCCAGCCCGGACACTGACGGCTTCATATTCAGCAAAGGAACAAGAAATGGGACTTTGCATTATGGAGTGAAGGTCCACACCAATGAGTCTCATGTCACAGTGATGCTGTACTATACAGCCATAGGATCAAGCAATCCACAAGTGGCTCGAGCCACTGCTGAGAAATTTTTAGAGAATAACGCCTGGTTACACGTGATTCTTACCGTTGATGATGGGATTATTGAGTTCTTCCTGGATGGGATCCCTATTCCTGGAGGACTGAGGAGCATCAAAGGAGAGGGCGTTGCCGATGGTAAGCAAATTCTCAGTTTCTAGTTTAGTTTATTTGTACATTTTTGAAAGAAGAATCAAACAGGAAAAATAAAACAAATAACAATAAAACAGGTGAGGTAGAAGCCCTGAGGGCTTATCTCAAAACCTCACCTTAAAAACAAAGTTGAAATAAAATAACAATAAAAAAGTAAAAATATTTACTCTCACAAATACATTTTACCCAATTGAAAAAATTACATACAAACATTGAAAAAATAAAATAGAGCAAAACAGGACATACAGTATGGACAATATAACAAAATCAGGACAATTCACTTTTTATTACAAAAACGTTCTGACATCAAAGCATTTATGAGTCTCATTTTGTATCTGGAAAAAGACAAAAAATCATAAAGTAAATAAAAATGTGGGTTCCATAATTTGACTCCTCGGTATCTTATTGATTACTGTCTTCAATAAGACCTCAGCTTTGAAAACTCCAAATCAAATGTTACATTGATAGATTTTAAATGTGTTGATAATTGGAAGAAAATGTCTTTAATTTGTTAAAATTGGAAGAATTGTATTTTTATTTAATAAGTGTTGAATATATTTTATCGACTTTTTTTTCATCGCAATCATTTCCCCAAATGTCAAACACCAAATTCATTCATACACAGGCCAAATTATGATGTACAAATACTTCTTCTTGTCCTGTAAATATTTTCCTATTGTCTCAGCACCGTGCCCGTGCACCGAGCCACAAATACCGTGCTCTTGTACTTGTAATGATGATGATGTCTATTCATGAATCTAATTGGGAGACTTTGTGTGTGACTTTCTGGGAGCAGGATTTCAGGCTTTTTACTTTATTTTGCACAAATGGAATGAAAGCAAGTCCTCACATTTACGTACACATTGCAGATGCACGATTACACACACACACACACACACGCATGCACCCAGCCACCTCTCAGTCACTTCTTCATTGTTCAGGTCTGTTGGGACTCTGCAATGCTTCAATGACCATTTAAAATCAGCACTGCAGGATATTGTTGCTGCTAAAGGGAATCAGTCAGCATCTTCTTTTCTTCCCTTTTTCCTCTCTAATTAACAGACACAATAGACGCTGCCTGTATAGGACCAAAACCCCCCAGAGGGGAAATATTCTGATGGCTCCTTGGCTAACTTCAATCACAGTAGATGTATACATAATCATCAATCATGTCTGCTACTAGTAACTCAAACCCACAGAGGAATTGCTTTGTGTCAGGGTTTTGTACTTGCTCACTGTGGCATATTTCCAATGTTGTCCCACTGTATTTCTGGTGTCTTATAAACCCATGACGGTTGGGCACTTTGTGTGTGTGACACGTAAATAAAGTACAATCAATCAATCAAAAATGTACCAGTAGAGGAAGCAATACGCATAGAGCTGTAAGTAATGATGTAACAGTACCTTGTGAGACAGTTATAAATCAGTACACATACAGTATGGGACAATACAAATTAGTAAAATTAAAATAATCACAATTTAGCTTTTTAAACAGCAGAAGGACACTATCTGCCTTTGACTTTTCTTGTTTGAGGCCATGTCTCTACATCTGTAGCTGAAAAGAGACATACCGGCATGGTGTCAGTAAGTGATGATTTTACAGTGGATGACGCACAGCCAGTGTGTCCTGCTATCAATAAACTAGTGGAGGGTCTTTTTCTCCTTCGAGTACGTGTCCCAGTAGTGTGTCCACACCTGGGAGAGAAAGATATGTAAGAAAACATCACAGAAAGAGCTAATAAAACTTTTTTTTTTCCACTTTTGAATGTTGTTTTTGTTTTTCATTTGCTCCTGTAACTTTGCAATCTCGTCAATGTCTCTACGTGTCTTTTCAAAATAGAACACATTTGTTTTCAAGACAGGAAAGTTACTTAGGTGTAAGTAAAAATAAAAAGCAAAATAAAAGCATCACAATTAAAAGTTTAATAAGGCAACTCTTATCTAAAACTTGAAACTTGGTTAATTACACCTTTAGAAATATCCCTAGATGTAAATATCAGCATAATGAATAATTAATGAGAAAGAGCACAACAATGATCTACTACATGTTTATTTTTTGCAATGTTGATCAAACAATAATTTGTAATTCATGCTTGGGGCCATGAAAGTCATTTGTTTCACTTGTGTATCGAGCCGTTACCTACTTAATCTACTCGTACATATATTGTTTAAGAACGCTAGCCTGTTCATTAAAAATATGTCCCTTTTTTTCCCTCTCTGTATTTTTACTCCAGGACCTGCGTCTGTGTATATTGGTTCGGATCCTGAGGGTGAACAGCGCTACACAGGCCTTCTCCAGGACGTCCGCTTGTACAGGACTAAGCTGAACCGCAGCCATATCCACGAGCTCCACACCCAGCCTGCTAAAACAGACCTGCGTAGCATTTCAGGTTACCTGCGCTACCGGCAGGATGAGAGGCAGAAGTCATTTGTGGTGGAGGCCAGGGATGATAATGAGGAGGAGGGGGAGGAGATGTTCTATCTACAGTTGGTAGCAGTTCATGGTGGAGCGCGCCTGCCTCTCCCCAGACCCACTGCTATATTGCGTGTCATGAAAAGTGACAATGCCAATGGGCTTTTTGGCTTCACTGGTGCCTGCATACCTGATGTAAGTGCAAAGTAGCTAGCGATTTATTTTCAGCCATTTTAGCTGCTATTCACATCTAAATAAACCTAACAAACACTGCACATAAGACTATTAGCACATAGGACAGACTATTAAATAAAGATTTGAATAACTCTTCTGAGAAGGCTGAATCTACATGTATCTGCATAGAGACACATGAAATGTAAACCTACTGGTTTGTCAGTCCCTGTCCTGCTACATATTTTATCAGTCTTCATGCCTGGCTGCAGAGAGAGCATGCGCTCCGTTTTTAGTTTGATTAGATACGTGGGCTCACATGTTGGGCCCTCTCAGGTAGAGCGACAGCTGGTGAGGCTGCGGCAGGTCTGCCTGTCAGGGCATTCCTGTAGAAGTAGAGCAGGAGTTCCAGCACTGGAAAAGGATATCTTGTTCCACGTTCCATCAACACAACAGGTGGCAGGGCCGGCGATGGCATTCCATCAGAACCAGAGGATCTTCTTTATGTCCTTGATCCTTTGGGGATACAGAGCTGTAGTGGCATGTAGGCTATCAGGTGCTTCCTCTGCAAATCCCATTAACACTGTGCTGTAATCAAAAATACTGCCTTCTCTAATAATTGAAAACTGCACAACTACAGTAGGATAAATGCAGCATTCATCATTTCCTCCATTAGTACAGAATGAATCGTCAATATAATTCCCTTGCTTTGTTCCTATAGACCACTGAGGAAGGCTCCACCATCTCTTGTGTGATCGAGCGTTTGCGGGGATCTCTGGACCATGTTTATGTCAACTACAATGTTACCCAACTGGATACCTTGGACAGTGAGACCCCTGCCCATCAGGATTTTGTGAATGCCACTGGTGCTGTGCTTTTCACGCCTGGACAACGCTCTGAGGTTTGTGCACTGTGTATGTAAGAGTGACTCAACAGTTTGACCTGTATTTGTCTTGGAGGAGTTAGAGAAAACCCCTCTGAGTTAATCATGGGTCACATACAGTGCAGTCTCTCAGCTGATAAAAATGCATGTGATGTATCTTGTCTGAACTGTTTTTTACACATCATGCAAATCATGTAAATACTACATACGGTTAACAGAAGTACAATACAGCCACCAAGATGCAATGTTCAAGACAACCAGCCCCCCCTAGTGGTTGTTTGGTTTGTGAAGTCAACAGGTGTCTGCTGATCATTAAGATTTAAATATATGCTTGTGGAACACAGCTCAGACTCAATGATCATATTTTACAAAAAATTAAATATTAGCTTACTTACTTAACTTGTTATGTTTATATTAATATCTGTCCTTTAGGTGCTGAACCTGTTAGTGTTGGATGATAACCTTCCAGAGCTGGCAGAGTCCTTTCAGATCACTCTGGTGTCAGCAGAGTCTGGTGACGGGAAGCTGGGTTCCACCCCCACCAGCGGAGCGAGCATTGATCCAAATAGCTCTGTCAACATTGTCACTGTCACAGCTAGTGATCACCCTTATGGTATTTACTTACATGTCGAAATTAAGTACTATTGCTCCTTGGTTATAACAAATGTATTTGATTATTTTGTGATAATATTCCTCCCCAACCCAACCCACTCTACTCTTCTTTTCCCTCTTTTTTTTATAATTTACTCCCTTATTTTTTCTCTTATCATCATCCCTGAAACTGACTCTATCTTTATGCAGGCCTGCTGCAGTTTCAGCCCAGCCCTCCAGGAGAAGGACTAATCTCTCCTGTTTTCGAGCCTGCTCACATAACTGTTAATGAGGAAGATGGACAAGTCCGTTTGTTGGTGGCCAGGGCCCAGGGCCTTTTAGGAAGGATCATGGTAGGATACAGGACGACCCCCTTCACAGCATCCAGCCCTGAAGACTATGAGGTTAGTTATTCTTTAATCGTACTGATCCATCCATCTATTTATCCATCCATTATAGATACCACTTATGCACACATGAATTAGTGAATAATAAGTACATGGTGATTGCATCTCTGATTTCCTCCTTCTCTGTCTCTTGCAGGACTCAGACGGCATTCTGGACTTTCTTCCAGGGGAACGATTAAAGTTTATCCCTGTGACTATCGTTGATAATCCTGTCCCCGAGCTGGACAAGATTTTTAGAGTGGAGCTCTACAATGCTGATGGAGGAGGTGAGATACTTGACCCCAAATTCAAGAAGTTGTTTTATTAGTCGTTTTTCTTAAATGTAGTTCCTTTGCCTTAACCTTTGTTTATAGCTGAATTGACCCTGTGTTTTGCCCTGCTTTGTTTTTGTGTGTTTTGTGTGCTGTGCTTCTGTGTTCTCTCGTACCCTCCAACATCCGCAACTGCCTTCCTCTTACCCTCCTTCCTATTTGCCCTTTGACATCTGCTTCTCTGGTGTGACACTTGTTTGATCCTCCTGTGTGATCCATAAGTTGGTCAGTATCTGAATAGTGAAGGGAGTGGTAGTGGTGAGAGTGACTCTGACTTCCTCCTTCCATCCTACTACCACCATGGTAAGTATCCCCTTCCTTAACTGCCCAAACAGCTTCTTGTTTTAGTTCCTTTCCCCTTACACTCACATCTTGCATATTAGTCATATTATGGATCAACTAACCTGCTGCTTCCAAAGTGGCCCTTTATCTACATTAGATATTCATTTGATCAGATAAAGATTGCACACATCTGTAGGTGTTTGCATGCACATGCACATTTAATTAACTCTGTGTAGTGTTTACATTGTACTCTGACCCGTATGTAAGAGAACGCAAGGAGAGTAATGTGGGAAAAGCAAATAGTCTTTACCAGCAGTATCCAGAAGCAAGTGACATTAAATCTCATCACATTAAATCACATTTAAAATAAGTGTTTTACTTTTAGTTTAGGTTGCTGTCACACCTTTTGAAATAACTTACTTTTTGAATGAAGCTGCCTTTTTCATTCTTATGCCCTTGATATCACTTTTTCTGAAAATTAAAGAAAACCTTCTTTATATTTCTGTTCTGTGAGGATTAGGCCATTTTTAAAATGTAGCCCGTATGTATTGCTAAACGGTAAAATCTTGTATTTTGTGTGTAGCCAGCTTGGGAGTTGCGTCTCGCATCACAGTGACCATTGCTGCTTCTGATGATGCCCATGGAGTGTTTCAGTTCAGTCCTAGATCTCTCTCTATCAATGGGACAGAACCAGAGGATGGACGCAGCTCTGTGGTGCTTCAGGTCCGTGTCATACACAGTTAAATATTAGATCATGACCACTGAGACACAAAAACATGTTTGCATTAGCATGTAATTATTTTAACAATGTGCTTAGAAAAAATAAAGCCCTGTGTCCACCTAGCGTTTTATTCTGAGTGCCAGCGTTTTTTAAAATTCTTTTCAACAAGAAGAGAGTGTTTGCAGCAGCAGGAGGCAGTCTGGAGAAAAACGCAGAGCCCAGCGTACCTTTTTTGTCCGAGTGCTCTGAGTTGAAAATCTTTCAACTTTTCAGAAAGGCACTGTTGGCATCACTGGCACTCTTTTCACTGGCACTTGTATGATATTCCCTGTATTTTTGCCACCCAAAGATCATGTCTTGTACCAATATCCTCTTTGCCCAAAATCTGCTGGGGTAAAAGCGATCTCAAATTAAAAACAGTAAAAAGCAACAGTGCTGTGTCGGTCATACAGCGGCTGTTGTGACAGGACAGACGTGCAGCACTTTTTTTTCCGCAGTGCACAAACACTTGATGCAAGTGCTGCAGAGAGCACAGCCAGCACTTTTTTGCCTGGTAAATAAGCTAGGTGGACACGGAGCCAAAGTAATTACTTTAAGTGTCACGGGTCATGACCATTGTACCATCATGCTATGTTTGCTTTTTTGTTTCTCTCCCAGGTGGATCGGTCCTTTGGTGACCTCTCCAATGTAACTGTGTACTGGGAGGTTGATCCCAGCTCTGAGGGGGAGCTCCTCAGCAGGTTTGGGAACATCACCTTTGGAGTAGGGCAGACTACAGAGAATATCATCATTGATGTGGCTCCAGATGAGATCCCTGAGCTGGACAGAAGTTTCACTGTGTCATTGGTTAATGTCTCTCATGGTCGTCTGGGACCTCAGATATCTGCTACTCTGACTGTACTCGCCAGTGATGACCCCTATGGGGTTTTTGTATTCGCTAACGAAACAAGGTCTGTCCGACTTCCTGAAGCTGACTCATCTGTCTCCCTCAACATCCTGCGACAGAGAGGCCTGATGGGTCAGGTGTGTCCTACTGTAGAAGTTTAGAATTTTTTTTAACAATAAAAGGAATTAGAGGAATTAAAACCATTATGATTCCGTTACTCTGTCTTTCAATAAATAATCAGAATGTTTTTTTTGTATTTGAACATGTCTAGGTGAATGTGACATATGGGACACTTAAAGAGGCACAGCCAGAACCTTTCAGGACCCCTGGAGTGGGCCGGGCTACTGAGGGACGGGATTTTGTCCCTCTCTTGGATTCTGTTGTGTTCTTGGCCAATCAGAGTGAAGCAAACATCAGACTTCAAGTGCTAGATGATGAGGATCCAGAGAGAGACGAGTCAATTTTTGTGAAGTTGATCAGTGTTCAGCTTATCGAAGGAGAGCAGGAAAGATCCAGTAAGATACTGAAACTCCCAAAGTAAACACATTAACACATAAAAAAAAGTTTAACATACAAAGACTTCCATTTCCAAAACTCAACTCAAGAAACATCTTCCTGTCATCCCTTTCAGTTTCCAATTCCCCTTCTGTGGGCCCCCTGACTGACACCTTTGCCCAGGTGATAGTGGAGGCGAGCGATGATGCTTTTGGAGTCCTTCAGTTATCGGCTTCTGCTGTCAGTGTTGCTGAGCACTATGTTGGACCTATCATTAATGTTACACGTGTCGGAGGGATTTTTGCAGACGTGTCTGTCAAGTTCAGAGCAGTGCCTTTGACTGCCAGAGTCAGTAAGTTTTGGCCAGGAAGTATGAATTTGAACATCTCTCTAAACACGTGAGATGGGCAGGACATGTCTTCATGTATATCTATTACTTTGTGAAATCCTATAGGTGAGGACTACAGTGTAGCCTCCACTGATGTTGTCCTCCTTGAGGGAGAGTCCAGTAAATCTGTTCCCGTCTATGTCATCAATGATATGGTCCCGGAGTTGGAGGAGACCTTTCTTATCGAGCTCATCAACCAAACCACAGGCGGAGCTCTTCTGGGGGAGCTCACCCGTGCCATCATCACCATACTGCCTTCTGACGACCCATTCGGTGCCTTTGGTAAGTAAGCATCATCCAGGATATGTTTCATTTTATTTTAGACTATTCAAATAATTATATTCATAAATTATAAATAATTATAGTTATAGTTATAAATAGTTATAGTTCATTGTTCAAGGAGTACCTCTCTTGATTTTCCCCATAGTCTTCCAAGCTATTCCAGTCACCATAGAAGAACCAGGATCTAACTCCATTGAGGTCAAGTTGCCAATTGTACGTAATGCTGGTACTATTGGCACAGTGGTAGTCCAATGGCAAGCCACTGTAAACGGTAAATTAGCAAATGGGGACATCAGACCCACATCGGGGGAGGTTAGATTTGCTCCTGGAGAGACCATGAAGACGCTGCAAGTAGAGATTTTATCTGACGATGTACCTGAAATCACAGAGGTAAGAACGCTAGTGTGGATTATCCAAAATAATATATATCCTGTGAAATATTTGAATCATTTGAGATCAAATGTTCATCAAACATTTTTGTCCTCTCTAGATAATTAAGGTGGAGCTTACTGGTGCCAGTAATGGGGGAAACCTTGGAGCTGATACATCTGTCAACATCATAGTGCCTGCTAATGACAACCCATATGGGACTGTGTTCTTTGAACAATCTGTTTACCGCGTTCAAGAGCCCCTGGAGGGAGTTCATAGGGCTAATATTACTGTCCGCAGGAGGTACTTGTTTTGTTTTTCTTTGGGAAAATGTATTTTCTTGTACTAAGGCTAAAACTCAATCACTTCTTCTGTCACCTTTATTTCAGTGGTGGACACTTTGGTCGCTTGGAGATCTTGTACAGCACCTCTGAGATTGACGTTGTTGGTTTGGTTCAGAAGGATAACCAGAACCTTCTGATGTACTATGCACTCCCAAAACCAGGCATTCCCTCAGTCCCCCTCCTTAGGACAGTGAATACAACTGGTCAGACAGACCCCCTGGCTGCGTGTGCTGCTGCTTGTCTGAGAGAGCGTGCCTGCCAGGCCTTCTCCCTGTCACCAGACATGACCTCACCATCTTGCACCTGGGTGACTTCAGGGGCTGACCAACTGACACCGAACTCTCAGGTTATAACTTATGTAAAAAACACCACTGCTGCTGCAGTCCTGTTTAGTGGCCAGGCTGAAGCAGGGAGTGATTTTTCTCCTGTGACAGCTCAAAGTGCCTTCATGGATGATGGGTCAGGGGTCACCAACCTCTCAGTCCCAATCTTGACTGATAAGTTCCCTGAAATGGATGAGAGCTTCAACATACAGATCTTACAGGTAAAACTCAGTCATACATATATATTTGCCTGTTATTTTTAAGAGCGTTTTTCAAGATTGTCTTATTTATGCCTAATTTTATTCAAAAATATTTACTGAAACATAACTACTGTATGTGTTTTTTGAAGGTAGAGCTGATAAATCTGCCTGTGGTACCAAAGAACCTGCCCACGATTGGCCTGCCAGACAAAGCGGTGGTAACTATAGGCATGAACGGAGATGCATTTGGGGTGTTTTTGATATACAGCCTCAGTCCAGGCGCCCGGAACGAGGGGCTCTATCTGGAGGTTCGTGAAGAGCCTCTGGTTGTGGTGCCCCTGGTCATAGAGAGGAGAGGAGGGAATCTTGGCACTGTTACTGTAGAGTGGAGGTTTGTTGGAGGAAAAGCCACACCAGATGCTGACTTCACTGGGACTGGAGGGACTCTAGTCTTTGATGGTATGAGGACCACTGACTGATTTAACTTTAATATGTTGTTATTATAATTCCCCTTAAAGCCATGAAAACCAACATCTTCTCAAATTTAATATTTGTAAAAATGTCCTTTTGTCATGATTGTTTCTACGTATTTCAACAAGATAAGTAAGGATAATTAAAACAACATTAGCATGTGCACTTAATGATATCCTTTATTCTCCCTGTTTCTTCAGGTGATCTAAAGAAGACGATAGAGATTGTTATCAGAGACGATATTGAGCCAGAGGACAACGAGAGCCTCATGATTGGTCTTGTGAATACAGAAGGAGGAAGTCGAATCCTACCCAGCTCTGACACCGTTACCATAGTGATACTTGCTAACGATAACGTGGCTGGGATAGTTGGATTCCATCCCTCTTCGCGATCTGTGATCGCCAGAGAAGGTCGGTTACTATTTTGGGTGACAAGCAAGACGTATTTGGATATTTGATCCATAGTATGTACATTGATATCTCTAGACTTATAAAATTCTGCTGTATATCCTTTCCACTTTCCTTCACTAGACATGTTTGTAATTATGTTTGAGTGCAAGCTTATGGGATATAGACTCCTGGAAAGGTAGCATGCACTAACAGGTGGACCCTGAGGTTGTCAGTCATTATGTTGAAATTAAATCTTCATGGTTGAAGTCTGAGAAATATTCAAACATTTATGGACCCTGAGTTGCTTCTTGTGGCATATTAAGCATAAAGAAAGAAATGTAGATTTGATGTCCATAAATGCATTAATCTCTATAGAACACTATTTACTTCACATAATAGTTCTCCACATTAAAACTGGTCAAATACAGGTTTTGGATTGATGTAGCGTAAGTCTTACTGTATAAATGATTTTTGAATTTTCCATTTTTTTTTAATTTAGTCACATATAATCATTCACTTACTTGGGTGAAATAAGACTCAATACTATTTCAACAGTTTTTTTACAGTCAGTATACGGTCTTAATGCATTATGTTTTTCTATTACAGGTGAGATGCTATCCCTATTAGTGATGAGAACTGCGCCAGGTCGAGGTAATGTCACTCTGGACTGGACTGTACAAGGGCCACGTGTACTCCGGACGTTCACCCAAACATCAGGGACACTTTTCTTTACTGAGGTAAAAACCATCATTACCAAGCATTAAGATTTGGCACAGATCAGCATGTTGTTATTGTTGATCTCTTTGTGGCTGGTTAAAGGTTTCAACACACAACTTACTAAATCAACTGAACAGCTGTTATTTGCCGTGTCTCCTACAGGGTGAACTGAATGACACCATAGTCCTACAACTTCTTGATGATGTCACACCAGAGGATAAGGATGAATACAAAATGTCCTTGTCCAATATACAAACGTTTGGTAATGATCTTAGCGTCTGATCTTTATATCTAATCTTAGCCTCTTTATGGTTGGTCATTGAGCCTGAAATCATTGTGAAGAAAATTCTTAAATACCCTAAAATAACCTAAGATAGAATTCTTACACAGATGGTCATGACTCTGGTTTGCAAACACAGGTGTTGTGGAGACTGGCCATGCTGCTCTTGATGCTCAGGGCAGTGAGGCAGTCATTTCTGTGGACACCAGCGATGAACCCTATGGGCTACTGACAATTGCCCCATCGTCCCTCAAGGTGACCACAGAGGAACAGGACCGGACTGTTAACATTTACGTCAAAAGAGAGTTTGGAGCCTCAGGTCAGTTTGAAAAAATTAGAACTTAATGAATGGATTTTCTTTGTGTTTATTCTTCTTCATGCTTAGCGCTAAGCCGCCACAACCGACATCTTACTAAAGTGTATTTTTACAGGAGCGGTGAACATCACCTATGAGGTTATAAGAGGTTCTTTGCAAGACCTGTCCCAGATAGAGGGTGCTCTCGCTGAACCGGGACAAGACTTCATCGCTGGTACTGGTTCTGTAATCCTTCAGGACGGACAGACTACCGTTGCCATCCCTGTCACCATATTAGAGGTAAAGACTGTATCTTTCTTCCATTTCTCAGTCGTCTCTCCATTAAATGTGACGGCGTACATGAAAAAGGTCTGTAAAGACTTGTTTTTCAAAACCATAATTACCCAATTTAACAATTTTTATTCCTTTTGATTATATAAGGTGTCTTTTGAGTTGCAATGTTAAAGGTAGAGTCAGCAGCAATGTTTGTTGCAGCTCTTAAACACAGCATTCAAACTGGGCCCCTCCTCCTGGGCTCATAGCGCACGTCCACCGCAGGACTTAGAGTGTACATTTACTGCTTGTACCTACACTGCAGTCTACCTGAGAATATTACATTTGCTGTAATGGAAAATCTGATGATTTAGCAAGCTCGCACAAGCTAACCGACGGTGTTTGGCACCTGCCTGTCCAACAGAAAGCAGGCCAACTCCGCGTCCGCAGGTGAAAACCAACACATGGTTCAATCTCATTTCACTTTAACAGCGAAGCGTTTCGCCTTGGTATGATTATATTTTCTCTTCTTTGCCCCTACGTCTGCCGCCGGTTTTGAATCGCATTTAATGGCTGAATTGTATCCACTCCCAAACTCAGCTGTGTGCTGTCATTGGCTGGGGGAAACACACCAGCTACCCACTCAGAAACATCCTGAGTCAACTAAATCAAAACATTAAATTCCCGGCAGAGAACTCTGCAGACACCACCACACATGCATGGAGGCCAAGATGACATGATAGATGCAACATTACTTTTGTATAAGTCTATATTTTCTGTTTTCGGAAAAACAAAAAGCTACTGACTCTATCTTTAAGTTGTTTCATCAATAAAATACATTATTTCTGCCTGAAATCTCTTACTCCATTTTGAACCAAGCTCAGCTTCCTTCCAGATAATTTAGTTTAAATGTGGAATTAAAAGCTTTTCATTTCCACTTTCTTAAAGGATGACACGCCAGAGCTGCAGGAGTTCTTCTTGGTCAACATAACATCAGCAGTTCTCATCACGACCATTGCCACTGTTCCACAACTAGGTATGGAGAAGTAGATTGAAAATGATCCTTATGAAAGTTGTGATTGAATTTGCAATCATTGGGTTGTTAAAAGCCAAAAAAAACCGTATTTGCACTTTTTCTGTATTTAACATTTGTGTTTAATTGTGTCCTTTAATTAAATCACTTTCTTCTGTTTGCCCGGTTTGATGAGTAGAGGTTGTGTTTTGCACACTGCCAGGTAAAATTGCAAGCTCATATGGACAGGTGACAAATTAAAGGAAAAACTGATGTTTTTGCAGTGAAGACATTTGTTGTCTCTGTTAAGCCAAGGGGTTTGTTTGGTGGCACTGATGGGGCTTCTTGTCCCCTTAGAGGAAAGAGTCACTTCAATATAAGTTGTCTGGAGTCATAACCTTCTTCCTATCATGAAAAATGTTTACTGCAAGTGATTATGTCCAAAAGCTCACAAGGCATCACTGAAACAACAAATGAGGGAGTATCATTTGGAAGGTTTTGTTCCATCCCTCCAGATTTGTAGAATCAATTCCATATTGAAGCTGTTTTGATGGCCTACCACCTTGCTAAGCCACATTATTTTGGGTTTTCCCTTTAATTTGTCACCATCTGTATGTTTACATGCTTTAGATGAAAACCATGGAGTTTTATATACAATGTTCCTGTGTGGTATATTAAACTACAACAATTTAGTTTACTGTCAAAATGCAAAGAGCTTGGTAGTTACTGCTTTTGCATAATCCAAACCACAGTCCAATTTATGAATGAGTAACTTTAGAAAGTGATGAGTAGACAGAACATTACAGGCAGAGCAGCACTTGGAGACTCCAAGAATACTATCCACCCTCTCTACGCACAGTAAACACTCGGCCGCTCTTTTGGCAGCAGTCATTATGTGGCTTGGATGAGGGAGATTGATGCCTTCCATGATTGAGGAAGCCTGGGGATTTGTTTGGAGCCGAGTAGCACTGTGTTGCGAGGATAGAGAAAGCCAAACTAAACCTGGAGCTGGCCTCCTGGTGTCTAGGCTGTGGAGTGAATGGGAGAAGACTGTTCAGGGGGTCATAAATCAGTCCATCCAAAAGACTTGGCTGCTCAGTCTACCCATCCACTTACAGGAGACGCTTCTTAGCTGTAATCTTTTGGTCAAATGTGCCATGACTGCTTTTAGATTGCCTACAGTTTCCTCTTTCATTTCTTGCTGTTGATGCTTGCACTGTAGATGGAACCATAAAGCCACAGCTGAAGCTCATACTTTTAATTCTATTATTGATGCCAATTGAAAGTCTGAAGGATGAAACATGTTTCCTCTATGTGTGTTGTCCTTTCTCCAGACACTCAGGGTTTGGTCACTGAGGTTAGCATTGCTGCCAATGATGGGATAAGAGGAGTCATTGAATGGACAAGTACCATGTAAGAAATGCAATGTGCTTATATTCATTTATGTTGAGTAGTATAGAAATACATTTCTCATCCAAATATGGTCTGCTCTCCAGGTTTGAAGTCAATGAAACAATAGGGACCCTTACTCTCGTGGCCTACAGGAGCAAGGGGGCGTATGGAAATGTCTCTCTTTTCTTCTATGCTCAGAATCTGGAAGCTCAACAAGGACTGGATTACAATACCAGTGAAATGGTCAGTATATACAGTACACACACTGTACACAAAAAACAGACTGCATGTGTAATAACACAGCACATCCTATAATACTTACAGAAGCATTCAAATCTACAAGGGTACAGTCACAGGTAACTGGACCTGCTCTAGATTCTTGTCATGGAAAAGGGCTCTTTATTTCTGAATAAGAAGTCTGATGAGAATTAAAATGTCGTCAAAGAATGTAAATAAAGGGGAGCTATCCTTACCTCAGTATGAACTCATTAACTTATAGTTTAAACAGACATGTTGCAGCTTGCACTTTATTAACCGAAAAAAATCCTCTCTTCTTCCAGATGCTGCATTTTGTTGATGGTGAACGGTATAAGTTTGTAGAAGTGCAGATCATCGATGACGTTGTTCCAGAGGGAGCTGAGAGATTCCAGCTCATCCTGTCTGAGCCTTCTCTGGGGCTTGAGCTGGGCACCAACACAACAGGTAGATAATATGACAGTGGTACAAACAGTGTAAGCATGATGTGCATAGATCTTCTGCTTTTCATTGAAGAGGTCTTATACCATGGCCATAGAAAAAAAATATGCATCTAATATGCTGGTATACAAATATGGTATACATAAGACTCAACAGGGCCAGGGTTTGATTCACATCAAATCAGGTTGTTACGTAATAACAACAACAACCTTTTTGTGTACCTTTTACAGTTTATGTAGCAAAATCTTTGAAATGGAACTTGAAAACATCTTTTACTTTAAATACCAGATTTTGTTTGAAACATCAATCTATCTCTGGTCATGCAGGTCAAATAAACTGAAGAACTTGAAATGACTGCTGTCTTTTAAGAATCATGAGCTGATTGAAGAAGCTATGTTGTACAATGTTATGAAATAATTTTCAAGCCTACGTCTTTCTGTTTTCTTTTAGCAACCGTGAATATCCTTGCCAGTGACGATGGACATGGTGTCATTTCTTTTAACACCAGCGAGCATTTCTTACTGAAGGAGCCCACCTCAGTGTCTGGTCTGAGTGAGAGTGTGGCCACCCTGTATGTGGTTCGAAACCCAGAGGAAGGCACATTTGGCTCCGTAACGGTTCAGTTCACCATCACTGATGCAAACGGCAGTCTGGCCGAGGGGGATTTCACTCCAGCACGAGGGTTTGTGGTACTGGAGGATGGAGTCAGGTTTAAGGTGAGGTAGAGAACATTTTTTCTTGGTAAATGAGAAATTATGTTTACTTTTAAGATATCATTTTACACAAAGACTTGTTTCTTTTTTTTAATATCTATTAGAAGTCAGTATTAACATACTAGTTTGTGTATTACACAGCATAAGCCGGTTCATTGTTTGACAGACTATTCTGTGTTGTTTCAGATGTTGGAGATCTGGGCAATACTTGACGCTGAACCTGAAGTCAATGAAACCTTCAGTGTGACCCTGACTAACCCAACAGGAGGTGCACGTCTGGGTGACCAACTCCAAACTCGAATCACTGTCCTGGAGAATTTAGCTCCATCTGGCTTGTTCCGCATCGGACCTACTATCAACAGGTCTCAGGCTCTGAAACTTTACATATTTTTAACACTTGTAGTAGTGTGTCATATTTTTAACACTTGTAGTAGTAGTTTTTAACTGAAAATGTGATCAAATGCACAAACACTCACAGAATAATACTCATGGAAAAAAAATACTAAAATAGTCTTTATCTGTGTGTTCTGTTCAGAACTAACACAGAAGTGACTGCTAATGAAGGTGGCAGAACAGTCTTCCTCACCGTGTCTCGCAGTAATGGTCTGGAGTCACTTGTTAGTGTGGAATGGGAGACCCTGTCTGACACAGCTATGGCCTCTGGTGAGACTGATGATTGATAACCCATACATATTCTGTTTTCCTCTTGTTTTCTACGTTCATTCCAATAGCAGTTTCCCCATGTTTCTTTTCTTTTTGTCCCTTTATTTTTCTAGAGGGTCCCCTCTCAGTGATTGGTGTGTACCAGAGCTTTGAGGATTACCCCACCTCCGCTTGGTGCTCACTTCCTGAAGGGTCTTCCCCCCTGGCTATGAGGCTGGATAGGAGGCCTATGTTTGGATCCTCACACACCTTGGCTACTCTTTATAGGTGGCAGGGTGTGTTTGTGCCAGTAGAGGTAGGCTAACAACAGTGTTATTTTACAACCAGTACATAATGTTCCCACTGTATATGTACAGTATGCCTGACACTGATGGTACAATTTATTCTGGTCGTTACAGTCGGTTAGGATTCAGGAGCCAAGCTCTTGTGTTGGGTTTGCAGTGAATGGATCTACCTACATTGGCATCACTCACAGTGGCCCTCCCTTTTCCCCCGCTACCAACCTTAGCATTTTCAAATTGCATATGGACCTTAATGTCACATTGGTGAGTCTAAACCCAGTCATGCAACAGCATTCAAAGACCTTGTCTCTTATTATCTTCATATAATTTTAGACAATCTGATTTGTTTAGGAACAAACTTTAGGTGTAGAAGCTCTGGATGTGAAACACTTCTCAACTGAAGGCAGAGATTACCTAATAGCATCAAGCCAGGTGAGGCTGACCTACAGATCTTACATCTGTTTCAGACATTTCAAGATCATGGAAATTAATAAATGAATTTCAATTTTTACAGCATATGAATAACTCATTTTTTGTTATTTTGTATGTTCCATCCTGCAGATTTTTGTTTGGACTGGAGGCTCCTTCGCCCTCCTCCAAACTCTTGACTTTGAAAAGAACATCCTCAGTATTTCTCCGTTCAGCCGGGCAGCTGTTCCCTACCTGTTGGTGTGCATAGACAAACAAAATGTCAGCTGCCTCCTGCTGCAATGGACCAACGGGAGATTTCAGAATCCACAGCCTCTTCAACTCGCTGGCAGAGCCATTCAGGCAGATGCAATCAGCACAAGAGCAGAGGACACACTCCTGCTGGTTCTTATTGAAGGTGACCATTCTTGTTTTGGTGTCACGTAACATTAATAAAGGCTGTTGTGTTTATCTTACTCTCCCAAAATAGTAAGATCAAACATGTCAGCAAGCCTTCAATATTTGCAGATAAAGGATGAAAACAAATATTGGTGGTATGCATCTTTAAAAATGTTAATTTAAGATAAATATGTTTTGTCTTACATGCTTAGTAAATGTATTTTCTATTATAAACAATGTGTTTCATGTTTGCATGTTGTTGTGGACCATAGTGGTGAGCTACCCAAAATAGTGCCATTACAAGGAGACTTGTTGGTCTCTGTGATATAGTGGGAAAAATAACTGTATTTTCTTGCACCAAGAAATTAGCGAAAATTAGTTGGAAAAATTGTGATTTTTAAATAAGTGAAATTATGTTTCAAGCTAAAGATAGTATGCTAAGAGTTTTGCTTTACAATAATGTTAACCTGTTACAGTACCTGTGGTTGCACTCTCAGTGTACGTTCTGTTGGATTTTGCTGCAGTTGATTGTTTAGCAGAGCATAAATAAACCAATGATACTCTAGAAGGCACTCCGAAACGATGTGTCTGTTAGAGACAGAACAGGCTTGTTCTGTTGCCCCTACTAAGATGACAAAACTCACAATGTAGGCCTGATTATATATTTTTACAACGCTCTGTATATTTTGATGAGACATAATCCCTCTGAGTCTGCAAAAGTGGAGAGTTTTCTTGGTTCAGACCTGTTGTGGGTTTACGGGAAAGGCCTTAGTGTGGAGCAGAGCAGAACCACAGAGGGAGGCAGAGGTTGTAATTTGTAAAGTCTTGGGTGTGTCAGTAAGAACGGTCCTTATTTTACATAAACATGTTATTCCAGCATGAAAAAAATGTAAAACTATGTATGCATGTTTTGTGTGTGTTTGTTTATGTGTGTGTGTTTCCTTTTTTCAGGTCCTACTCCGACATGTGAGGTGTTCCAGTGGAGCTCAGGACAGCCTTCCCCTCAGCTTTATCAGTCGATTCCTCACCCGGGCCTCACCTCTATTCACCCCTTCACTGCTCCATCTGGGATCAGTAAGCAAAAATGCCATAGGCTGTTTTGTTTTCAAATATATATTTTTTTTGTGTTTTTTAAGTTATACTTTTAAGTATTGACAAATTGACCAGACATGTGGATTACATTTTTTTCTTCCTCATAGCATATGTCCTGCTCGCTGGAAGAAACGGCTCATCACTCTACTTGTGGAGGTCTGATGTCAAGCTGCTCGCCATGATCCTGAGGGCCCCTCCGGCAATGAGCTTCTTATCTCTCATGGTGCCGTCCCTCAACAGCACCAAGACCCTCTTAGCCTCTTCTGAGGAGAAAAGCTCCACTGTTTATGAATTTACTTCTGTCTCCAATATGTCTGATTTCATACCCAGGTACCAAAATGGTCTTTTAAAGTCTAAAACACGATAGTCAGGAAGGAAAATTCTGCTCAAAATAAAACAACACATCAAGAAAGTTCTAAATGCATGTTGTGTTTTATTTTCCTCTTCCCATTCAGTTTTGGGGAGTTGCACTTTGCACCGGGGGACAGCGAGCTGGAGATAGCAGTGAACATCATAGATGATGACATCCCTGAGGAGCAGGAGCGCTTCCAAGTCAGCCTGAAGAATCCAAAGGGCGGGGCTGAGATTGGATTTGGCGGTCAGGTGACTGTCATAGTCCCAACCAATGATGATGCCCATGGAGTCATCGGCTTTGCTCAGGTAGGGATTAAACCTTTGATATTAGATTTGTTGTGCATTTTAAGCAATCATCATTTAACAGTCATTGTATGAAATCTTATCAGTACTCAAGGATATTTTGAACTCATATCAATAATTTGATATAGAGATATATTTATTTTCATTCTATGCAGAATTCTCTATCTGTGGAGGTAGAAGAGTTGGAGCAAAATAATCAGATGTCTCTCACAGTGGAGAGGAAAAGAGGAACTTTTGGCAGACTGACTGTTCACTGGGTTGCCACTGGCAGTCTGGCGGACATTTACCCCACTTCAGGAGTGGTGAGTAAACCTGGCCCTTCTGTCATACTAAAGACACACTCCTGTATCTAATGACAGCATGTTTATGAATTAAGATTTTTGCCAAAATAAACAATGTAAGAACTACATTTAAAATCACAAAATTCTTCATTCAAGTTAGAATGTATTTCATGTTGCAGGTAACATTTTCCGAGGGCCAGTCAGAGGCCTTCATCTCACTGACTGTGCTGGCAGATGGCGCCCCAGAGCTGAGAGAGATCGTAACCATCACCCTCATGGATGTCACCACTGTGGGGCTGCGGGACCTTACACAGGCTGCAGTCATCGACAAGCAGAGAGCTCAAGCTCTAATCACCATCCTACCAAATGGTTCTCCCTACGGGGTGTTTGGATGGCATCTGGACTCACAGTTTACACTCGCACAAGAACCACAGAGTGAGAACTTCTGTTGCATGAAATTAATCAGAGTGATGATTTGTCTGTAAAAGTGTTTTCACAGTTATCACAATGCAGAAAGCTTTTATTTTGCTGGTTGCTGAGTACCAGTCATTCAATTTTGGAGGAGTGAGGTTTTACAGTTTTTTTCTCTTGATTTAGGCTGTTACAAAAATTCTTCCACGAGATGATGTAAGTCTTTGTCTTAACACTCTCTTTGTAATCTCCCTTTTCCCTACCTGCAGGGACTCCAGTCAATGTGACTCTCTCTATAGTGAGGGAGCAGGGCTCTACGGGTGAGGTGGCGGTCCACTACAAGAGCGGGCCGGCCCTGTATCAGCCCCCCTCTAACCAAGCAAGTGCAGGAGAGGACTACACCCCCAAAGACAACACCATCATCATGATAGATGGAGCTACTGTGGCTCTTGTTACTATCACAATCCTACCGGTATGGAGATTGTTCAGTTAAAGTTAAATGTATTGAATCTATAGGCTTAGCTTCCTATGGACGAATGACGAACAAACATATGAAGTAACCCTCTTCCAAATGAGTAAAAGCATAAAGATTTTCTATTGCAAAAGTTTCATTCTTCCTCCTCATGACACATCCCACACTTACACTCATTCAGCCTGGATACCCAGACAGCCTCCTGTTTTTTGGCCTTCAGGATAAAAAATACAACCTGTAACAGTTCTGTAACTGTCCAAAGACTAGACTTTACAGGCTGAATGTAGGCGACAGCTAGAGGAAAAAAATCCAACACATTCTCCTCTTGTCTCCTCCTCTTCAGTTGTTCCAGAAATAGCTATTCATCTTCGTAAAACCATTACACATCATCTCACAATCTTTGCCTTGCAGATTTATTTGTTGTCATGTTGAAATCATGACACTAATGAAAATGATTGTTCTTGTAATTTTAGTTGTAACCAGAGAAATACATTAAGTGACCTCCCTTGTGAATGTGAATTAATTATGATTGTGCTTGTCAGATAGATGGCGACATTTCTTTTAACATTAATTCAATGTATATGTGCATTTTCTAAGGATGACATCCCAGAGTTAGCGGAGAGTTTCCTGATAAATATCACCAGAGTGGAGCTGATTAGTGAGTCAGTTGGTGCGGGGCAGCCGAGTCTGAAGAGGCCTGGTATGGAAGTAGCCGAGGTCATTATCCAGGAGAACGATGACCCTCGAGGGATTCTGCAGTTCAATGTCTCTGAGGTGAGCACAGGGCCATTTCTGGGATTTTGATTTCAGTATAAACTTGATGCAGTTTGTTTGGTTCCTTGAGAGCTTCATCAGAATGATCAGTAACTAACATATATAAGTAATAATTCATAATATTTTTCCTTTATGAAACATTTATTGAAACATCTTGTCCAGGATATCCCTGGAGTCGTGCTGGCATACGAGATTCCACCACCAGACAACATCCTCCATCTGTCGGTTGTGCGACTGGCTGGATCAATTGGACGACTGGTCATCTACTGGGAGGCTCAGCCAATCACTGCTGATCTGAGTGACTTCAGCCCCTCATCTGGGAATATTACATTTCTAGATGGGCAGGTAAATGGAAAAAAAAAATGTATCCATTAAACATCAAGCAACGATATAAAGTTATCTATGGTTTATTCCAAAAGCTTTAAGGTTATTTACTAGTGTTTACTCATCCGTATCTGTAGAAAAAAGCCATGATTGCCATCAACATCTTGGATGACAAACTTGTGGAGACTGCAGAGACCTTCAGAGTGGATTTACTGCGAGTGATTGGTGGTGCTCGACTGGGTGAAGTGACCTCTGTAACTATCAACATACCGCCAAACGACTCACCTCTTGGACGGTTTGGATTTCAGAACTAGAGGTGTGCCTCATCCTTATAATAACGGACACTTTGTACAATAACATATGGAGCAAAAATAAAATCTTAAATCCTTTAGATATCTCTAATTTTTCAACTCATCTACAACTACCTTTTCAAATAGTATGACTTTTTCAGTAATAATATTTTCATTCAATCCCACTTAGGTTATTGTCAGTGAGCCAGAGTTTGAGGGTGATCCTGCTGCCGTGGCAACACTAGCTGTGCTACGTAGTGTGGGAGGTGAAGGTGCAGTGACACTGAGATGGCAGCTGGACGACCAAGCTGCAGATGACCTCTCACCGCTCAATGGGACTCTTGTTTTCACTGAGGTACTGAGTACAAGGCGTGCTGTTACTGTCATATCACAAATCATTTGTTATTATTCTATTGAATGATTTAGTCAGCCTGTAATAATTACATCTAGCTATCCAGGCTTGATTTTTAACTTAATGTTCTGTGGAATATTCTGCTTTACTTTTTATACTTTCCAGACTGACTCAATGAAGACATTTGTGATAAGAGCCCTGGCTGACAGTGTACTTGAAGGAGATGAGCATTTCACTGTCAAGCTGTTTCCTGCTGGAAGCGGTGCTGTCATTGATCCCTTAGACGGTCAGTACTTTTAGAAAAATAGCTCACTGACAGATTTAGAAAATGTACATTTCAGGATTGTCTTTCAAAGATTCCTTAATTGTATCCTTCCTCATCTGTCTTTATTAACCTGGTCTGTCATGTACTACTAAAGGAATTGCGTCCATTGCTATCCGGGCAGACAAGGCTGCTCTGGGTATTATTGGCATAGAAGAGACATCAAGGAACGTCCTCATCGGCGAACCTCAGGGAGATTACAACGGTAGTGCTGTGGTCAGGTGAGAGTAAGAAACTGTTGCACTAACCAAATACGCTTAAAATGTCAGAACCACATTTAATGAAACCATAATATCATTTGAAAGGTGTTATATATCTGTCTGGTTCCCCCAGCCTCGTGAGAGGGCCAGGTGTGTTTGGAGAGGTCCAGGTTTACTGGAATATCACTCCAGCTGTGATGTCTGAGTTTGAAGCGATCTCTGGCACTGTGATTTTGAGAGACAGAGAGTCCACTGCCATGATTATTCTTAAGGTACTGAGTGATATAAATCTAGACTTGTCTGTATCACTGTATTGCAGATTTAAAATGTTCACTCAAAAAATATTTTAGTACCGGTTATCATTTTCTGTGTGATTTTCATTTAAATATCCTTGATGTATATGTTATGACACCAGGCTCTGGATGATAACCTTCCTGAAGAGCGCCTTGAGTACCAGCTTGCACTGACTTCCATCACCCCTGGACTGGAAATCAGTCCCATTGCTAAGCATGCCAAGATTATTATGGCGGCCAGTGACAACCCATATGGCATCTTCTCCTTTGACCAGGATCAGATCAGGGCAACTGAGGAAGAGGGAATGGTGAGATCCCAGAATGAAACAGTATATACAGTATATTGATCAACTGTTTGGTGTAGTAGTCTTATTTCAAACTGAAATTGTGTGTACCAATCTATCGCATATTGGATCTCTATGCCGCAGGTCAATGTCACAGTAAATCGCTCCTTGGGCATCCTCGGCAGAGTGTGGGTGACCTACCAAACCTCAGGCAACACAGCGATCAGTGGAGAGGACTTTATTTCCGCTTCAGGACGACTTCTCTTTACAACAGGCCAAACCTCACAACAAGTCACCCTGCAGATCCTGGATGACAGTCTTTCAGAAGGGCCTGAGCTGTTCTTCCTTAACATTACTGAAGTGGAGCTAGTCAACGTCAGGTAGAAAAACCTTTTGAAGTGGAGAAAATGTCCTTTTTTTTAGTTTGAATATTTACAATATCAATTGGAACACTGTCATAAAAAAAAGTGTTTCAAATGGGCTTGGAGTCCAAATAATGTTTTGATGCAAATGTCATAGGTTTCTTGTCTGTGACTTTTAATTTGTTATTCTGTGTCTCCCTCTGGTGGTCAGTACTGTGGACTACACAGTGAGAGAGTCAGGTCTCCAGCAAGACCAGCCCCCGGCTGTAGGAAGCATCTCCTCTGTCACTGTGGTAATACTTAAGAATGACAATGCTGAGGGTATCCTGGAGTTCAGGCAAGACTATGTCAACATTACAGGTAAAGGTACAACAAAGACAATTGCAACCTGTTTACATCTCTCTCCTATAATGTAATGTTAAAATATTGTCTTTTAAATATACAACCTTTGTCTTCTGACTTTCATTCTTTCAGTTGAAGAGGATGTGGGCACTCTGTTGATCGCAGTGGTGAGGAGAGTGGGCACATATGGATCAGTCTCTGCTCAGTTCATTTCTAGAGGCCTGAGTGCAACCCCTCACCTCGACTACATCCTGAGTAATGGATCAGTAATGTTTGCACATGGACAAAATACCAGCTACATCAATGTCTCCATAATAGATGACATGGACAGGTGAGAGGAGAAATTAAAATAATTAAAATGACTGTTCGCTTACTACCTTACACACAGTATATCCAGCAAACTCACTCATAATTCATTTGTTAGCTAAGCTTGTGTATTTTAACTCAAAAATTAAAATTTACTAATAATTACAAATGAATACTGAACTTATCTCCAACAGTGAGCATGTAGAGATATTCGAGGTCCTGCTGGTTGGAGCTACAGGAGGAGCAATTCTCGGCTCTCAACATGTTACCAGAGTAACCATCGCCAAGAGCGACTCTACAAGTGGCTTCATCCGTTTTCTCAACGACAGCCTGATCACTTTGGTCAACCCTAACTCCACCCTCAAACTAAGTCTTGTGTTGGAGAGAGCAGGAGGCTTTGTGGGCAATGCAACGGTATGGAAACTACTATTAAAAAGTATTTTTTCTGAACAGATTTAGCTAGAAGTTTACTCCCAGAAGTTCTCATTTTAGAAGAAAAATACTAATTCATGTTTTTGCAACAGGTTGCCTGGATTATTCGGGGCCCTAACAGCAATGACGTCCTTCCTCCAGTCAACACAGACATTAGAGAGCCTGTGAACGGGTCACTCTTCTTCAGGGATGGAGAGGAGGGCATACACAGCATAGAGCTGCAGATTCTCCCCCATGGGGAAGTGGAGGTGGAGGAGACATTCTTCATAGAGCTCAGTGTTCTGTCAGGAGAGGTGATTTGGATCCTCGGGCCGGTTCTTTAACGCTGAAGGTACTTCATTGGATTTCTGTATGCCTGCAGGAATGTTTTTATGTAACTGATGAAGAAATTGATCCCAAACACCTGGACATCTAATGTGGGGCAAGCCTCATCACCTTACTAACCCCTAATCTTTCCTTTAAAAAACTTTTTCCTCCCAGATAGAGAAGTTTGGTGATCCAAATGGTATAGTCCAGTTTACTTTGGATTCTCTTCAAGAGCACATCTACAATGAATCCACAGAAGCAGAGGGTCCTTTCAACATTTCACTGTTGGTTACACGCAGGGAGGGTGTCACGGGTAACATCACGGTAAGACAACATCATACACACTTATTATGTGTCAATCAAATCCAGCATCATATGTGAATACAAATATATGTGCCCTTTGTTAAAGTGTCAGTTCTCTCACATCTCAGGTGCATTGGCAGATAAAGAGTGACTCAGATATGGACAGGGACTTTTTAGCCTCAGCTGGCTCAGTAATGATCTTTGAGGGTCAAAGAGATGCTGAAATTGTTCTCAGCCTGCTGCCTGATACAGAGCCAGAGCTGGAGGAGCTCTACACTGTCCAGCTCACAGCTGTGGAGGGTGGTGCTACTCTGGACGCCAACCCAAACCTCATCAGAACAAGAATCAGGTTTCTCATTATGTTTATTATATTAAACTTAACAAAATCGATGGACTACCAGAGAAATCTCTTAAATAATTGAACTATTTACTTATCTTCTCCGACCCTTAGGGTGCTCGCTAACGATGAACCCCATGGTGTCTTCTCCCTGGATCCTGAGCAACAATCCATAGTGGTAGTGGGGTCAGGGTCTGAGGTCACCAGAGCTCTGATCTTGAATGTGACACGGCTTGCTGGGCTATTCGGCAACGCTAGTGTGGGCTATAGGATCAGTGGAGAGATGGATGAAGTGATGGACATGGAGGAGATACTTGGAGGACAAGCCGAAGGAAGGCTGCTAATAAGAGAGGGACAGACCTTAAGTACTGTCACTGTACCTATCAGCAGCCAGGTAAGGATGGGCAGGCCATTACAGGGACTTCTGGTCGGGGGGGGGTCAAAGAAAAACCTTTCAAAAATGAAGTTCATCTTGTTTATAGGCTCCTTTTTAACATTTATTTATTATCCTGACATATATAACTTATTTTGTAGGTATTTTTGTCAGCGGGGAAGAGCTTCACAGCAGAGCTGACAGATGTAAGACTAGTCAGTCCTATTATTGGCTCCCCACCTCGACTCTTTCAAGAGGCCAGTGTTGCCACGGTGACTGTACCTGAAGTAGCTGCCAGCTCTGAGGCGAGTTTTGTATATGCTTTTTTGTTTGTTTGTTTTGTTCATGATATGATTTGTCAAAGTACAACAATTTGTCTCTGTTGTACTTAACTTAAGCTGTTACAACAGCGTTAGGAGTTATACTTTTTCTCTATTATTATTGTTATGATAAAGAAGGCATCACACTTACAGGATGATAAACTGTCTTCTCTCATATTTTTTTGTACAGGTTGGCTTTGCCTCCCTGGCTCTGCAGGTGTCAAGTATAGAAACAGGGACGTGTGAAGCAGAAGTGACACGAACAGGGCTGTTTGGGGACATTAGGGTGCAGTGGAATACTGGATATCCTTCAGGTCAGGCTCCACCTGGGCTCAGACTGGGAGTGATCAGCCCAAGTTCAGGTAAAACACACAGAGAATTATATCTGAAGCAGTACATATAGATAGATTATTGAAAACCACCTTCATTATCTATTTAAGGTCGTTTTCCACGAAGCAGTATTTGTTTGAATTCTCTATTGTTGATTACTTCTCCATCAATGTCTATATTCAGGCTCACTGACCCTGGCCCATGGAGAGAGGACTAAAGTCATACCGCTGAGAGCTGTTGCTGATGCGTCTGTGGCAGCTTCCTATGCTATACACCTCAAAGCTGCAACAGCAAGCTCTGCTGCAGCTGGTGCTGTGAGACTCAGGTAATGCGTTCACTTTGGTGTGAAGTGATGGTGGTGTATGTTACATTGGAAACCTGCTGCATACAACCGTAACAAGAAGAAGTAGTGGAAATGTGTGTGTCAAAAATAAACAAACAATAGGTTTAGATGAAATGTTCGAAATTGTGTACAGATGATAGCAAATTAACTTCAATCTTTCCTTTCAACTTTGATATATGCTACTACTTCACTTTGCTTTTCATGCCAACACTCAGAGATAAACAGCTAATTTTTTGTTAAATCATCAATTTAATATAAATAGCAGTATATATTTAAGTCAACATTCAATTGTAGCCTCACTCTGATGTTTGTCTCCCGGCACAGGTCAGGATTTACAGTGGCAGAAGTGGAGCCACTGGGAATTTACCAGTTTGCCCCTGATTCGCGCCAGCTGGTCATTGCAGAGGACATCCAGACAATCACACTTTATGTCCAGAGACTCTATGGCTCTCGCAGCAACAGCACCCGCCTCTCCTATACAACAGTAACGGGCAGCGCAGTAGCTGGAGAGGACTTTGTTGCAGTGCCAGATGGCCGTTTGGTCTTTGACTCACCTCGCCAAACCAACACTTCCTTCCACCTTTCAATACTCGACGACTCCCTTTCAGAGGCTGATGAGTACTTTCACGTCAACCTTACAGATGCTCAAGCTTTAACTCCAGACCCAGCATGGACAGATACCCCTCCTCGCCTGAGCCCACAGCACAGTGTGGCCACTGTCACCATCCTGGCTAGTGATGTGACAGGAGGAGTGCTGAGTATTGGGCCTGGACAGGTTCAGGTACCAGAGGACAGGGATGAGGAGACCCAGCAGGACAGGAGGGTGGTTCTGAGGGTCCGCAGGTCCGATAGTGTGGCTGGGGCTGTGAGGGTTCGGGTTCAAGCATATGGAGGTTTGTTTTGGTTTGCTTCACCAATTTAGTTTATCATTTTATGTGACTTTATATTGTTATTCCCTGTGATGTTTGCGGTTTCATGTTTGTTGTGTTGCTGTGCGCTTTTATCTAGATGGAAGCACAGCACCTCCTCCTTTTACATTAGAACCTGTGGGGGCTCTGGCAAAGGAGGAACAGGACTTCCGCCTGGAGTCCACCATAGTGTCACTACAGCCTGGTCAGAACGAAGCAGAGGTTGTCCTCCTCATCCTGGATGACTCAGAGCCGGAGGGACAGGAAGTGTTCTTCATTTACCTCAGCGACCCAGAGGGAGGAGCACAAATCACTGATAGTACACACCTGGGCTTTGGGGCTTTTACCAAGATCACCATCCTCGGTAAAATGATAAATAAAACATTTTATTGAGTCAGTTAGAGATCACAGATAAGATATACAGTATATACACAGCATGTTCTGGCAAATAATAAAGATACAACATATACTGTATGTATTGTATTCTGAACTCTATCGGTTTCTGTTTTGAGCACAAGCTAAACCCCAAGAGTGTCACTTAGGTTTTATCAGATGCGCCCACAGACATATGTTTTGTTATCTCAATGAGTGATGAGTGATTCAGTCTTCTTCATCTCATTTGATTTGCATCAGGTCACTGCTACATAAGTCTCCTTCTGCTATTCTTGGCCTCGTTTCTCACATAATCACTGCATTGTGGCAGATGATTTGATTATTGTGCTTGTATGATTGATTGGAACTCAAATGAATTATAAGACGATGAGGTCATGAACAACTTAATTTGCTTACTGATTTTTTTTTTTTCCTCTTTGTCCTTGCCTCAATTCAGGAAGCGACTTCCACAATGGTATTGTAGGATTCAGTCTCAGCTCTCTGATTGGCCAAGTCCTGGATGAGGATTCAGAAAACAGAACCGCTCTCCTCTATCTGCAAAGACAAGAAAACAGGTGATTAAATAACACTTTTTTTTTTTCAATTCAGATGAATATGTAAAAATGGCTCTCAGCAACGGATCAATATTTGACGACTCATAGTTGTTCGCAGTTATTAAGCATGCTCTCTCTCCCTCTCTTCAGAGCCTTTGAGGATTTGCAAGTCTTCTGGAGGGCAACCTTCAGCGAGGCATCTTTAACTCTCATCAGCAATGGGGTCAACCTAACCAAACAGCTGGTTCAGACCTCAGGAACAGCACTGTGTAGGAGAGGAGAGATAACCTGTGCTCTCACCGTGGAGGTTCAAGATGATGAGGTGAGAAAAAGGAAGAGGCCCTCGTTGAAAGCACAACTGCATATTGTTATTCATCTGACCATTATGTTATTTCTCCAAGCCTAACAAAAAGGGATAGATTACAAATTTGGTGCTTAATTATTTTTTTAATGAACTAATCACTCATCTGTGTTGCATAGGAACCAGAGCAGCAGGCTTGGTTCTTGGTGGAGATTTATCAGGTGGGTCCTGGAGCATCCATTAATGAGACCATCCGTTTTGCCAACATCACCTTAGCAGAGAGTGATGATCCACGAGGCATTGTGTACTTTGCTGTGGGCAATAGACTGCCCATCGCCACCCCCATGACCACGCGGCTCAGTCTTCAAGTCTACAGACAAGCAAGCACAGCTTCAGTCATGTCTGTACAATACCGCACTCTGGTAAGTAACAAACAGTACACTTTTTAAATGCTATATATGCATATATTTAAAAACCTTTTGGCCCGCATCAACAAAGTAAATGATACGTAAAATGCTCAAATGCTCTGGAAAAGGTGTACTTAGTTGAATTTAGTATTTGTCTTATTTATTGGATGTGCTTTTTGTTTATTCAGCGTTGCCCTGGAGGTATCATTCTCTGCGGTACAAAACCTAATTTCCAATCTAGGCCAATGCAATCACAACCATTTACTAGCAGAAATAAGATAAGATACGATTTACCCAACTGTTAAAGCCTTAATGATGTGAATCTGTCTTTATCTAACCTGCTATTATTGCCCTGATTTACAGAGGACATATCTCCAATGGTACACTGATGCCATTTGTCGTTTTATAAGTTTGAACAGTTGATGACTTGGTTATATCCTGTCTGTGGAGAACAACTGTGCATCAAAATTTGGATGATGACATTGGGATTTTTTTTTCTCCTGATATAATTTCCATCTACATGTATGTTGAAGAAGCCCCTGCAGGTGAACTGTAAGAGGGTGCAACCAATACACCAAGGCTGACTCCTTGAGATTTTTGCATTGCTTTTCAACAAAGTATTGCATTTAATATTTTTTTCTGATGGTGGTTCCTTTAACTTGAGACTACCCTTTATCCAGTATACTGGTATATATATAATGTTCATGTTTTTTTCTTGCTGATGAAAGTCAGTGTTTCCTCCTCTCCTATGTAAAGCCATTGCCACCCTCCCTATTTGCAAAGCATTATGATGAGAGATATCTTAGTAAGTAAGCAAGTGTCCATTGAAATCATCAAAAATTAAAAACCTCACTGAGACACGTGGACAGGTAATCTGCTTTCATCTCATAGAACTAAAGCATGTTGTGAGACAGAAAGTTTGATGCATATTCAAAAACCTACTTCCCAACATGGTCACCCTCACTCATCTACCTCTGGTCCTGTTGCAATACTTTGCATTTAAAAGTTTTGAGTAGCCTGATTTACATACTTGACTCCAGACCACACATTTCTATTTTCTTTGTAGGAGCTTCCTGGAGATGATGTGGTGGGTCCCTCTACAATTCGACCAGCTATAGCAGGGATGGACTTTCCTAAACAGGAGGGTACACTAACCTTCCAAGTGGGTCTTCGCAACACATCTTTGAACATATTCCTCACACCTGACCGCGCCTCATCATTGCCCACACCGAAGCGCTTCCAGGTGGAACTGTTCAACGCCACAGGGGGAGCCAGAGTGCATCCACAGTTTGGGCTGGCTAATGTGACTTTGGTTTCAAATTCAGCAAGTGAAGCTGTGTGGGTCTTACTGGATCAATTACATCAACCTCTAAACCCAAATATACTGAATCAGGTGCTTAAAGGACTTCTGAATACGGTCACTGCACCTGTCACTCATGAGCAGATGGCCGCTGTACTTGAAGCTCTGGGGAAGGTAAGAGTGTTTGAAACACATACATCATGTCATCTAAGCTTGCAGAGCAGATAAAACAGTGAAACACAAAATAAAACCTACATTTATACCTGCACCCGTCATCATATCAAAACTGTAATATGATATGTTAGAATTGTTTTGGTTAAGGACATTTTTTAAAGCCTGATTTTTATTTATCTTCCAATCAAACAAGTTGATTGTTTTAAAAGAAGAGTCATTTTGTGTTCCAGCACACTGTCAATGTCAACATTTTCAATATATTCATATCAGTCTTTGTCAAACTTTGCTGCAGAATTCTGATATTAACTTTTTAAAATATAGTGTCATAACTCGGTGACTGAGACTGACTGTATAGTTTTTTACTACTAGCCTGAGAGCAGTGTAGAAACTGTTCAACCCTTAAGGGCAAACATCAGCCCCACTTCCACACTCTGACAGATATGAGGACTAGTTTGTCATCTGAAAAGGTCTCAGTTGTCACTTTGTATAAGCGCTGTGATCACTGCACTGATCTGAAGTCTGAGTCCACATATTGCTCAGCTTGCATCGAAGTGGAGACACTGCAGTAATTTCATATGAAAGACGAAAGAGCAAGAAGGAGCTCAGACAGCACAACGAGTTAATCAGCATGAGGAAACAGAGGAGAACAGAGACAGTAAGAGAAATTGAGACAGAGTGGAAATAGTGGAATTAGCTATATTTAAATATTAGCACAACAGTTGCATAAGACTGAGACTAAACTCATAGAGAGCAATGGAGAGAAAGCACAGAGGGTGAAAAGGATAAATACAAACTGAAATTGAGATCGAACATTATATCAGAGGGATAAACGTGTAATCAATACTAAAGAAAACTGTCTTGATGACAGTTAATATGGCAGAAAAATGTCTTTATCCATCCGTCTCTCTATTTACTTCTGTTTCCTCTGTGCCAGGTTCTTGCTGAAGCCGAGAAGGTTCCTTTACTACAAAGTAACCGCAATTTGACCTATGACCTGCTGTGTGCCTTGGCCAATCCCAGCAGGGTTGACACTCGAGGCTTCAGTCACCTTGCTGAGGTAGCAGAGAGATTTGCCTTCTCCCTCCTCACCCACAGCCAATGTGAGATGTAAGTGTCCCTGCTCAAAAGTACCAAGGAGTGAGATGGAATTGTCCCTCTTCTCAAGTTTTACATGTTCCGCTTGTTGATATATTTTACAGGGATTTCTCTTTAACATATTGTTAGTAAGATGCTCATACTTGGTATTCTAAGGGTTTCTCTCTCTGTGTTTTCTCCAGAAGGGGTACCATCCTGGAAGCATGCCCGTATATGACCATCTTTGCCTTCCAGTGGTACCCAACACAAATCAATGGACACAAATTTAGGGGACGTAATGCAGACTTCTTCCAGCTCCCTGATCGCTTGCTGGCGGTACCAGCGGTGCCGACAGCTGACTGTGCCAACCTCAGCCGGATTCAACTGATAGAGTTTAGAACAGATCACTGGTTTCTCACGAACAATACAACCACTGCTCTTAGTGGGAAGGTAGGGAAGCATTGAGATAGTGAAAGGTTTCATTTCCCTCCAATCAAAGCTTGAATTACTGTAAGAGATAAAATCAACTGAACAGCAAACTTTATATGTCTTGTTAAAAACAGCAGGTGGCAGTATTACTCCAATATACACATTCAGTTCAGTCCACAGCTGAGCTCTTGTCTCTTCTGTTTATATCAAGGTATTCTCAGCTAGCCTTCAGGACAGAGGGTCACAACCTCTAGAAGATGGCAATGAGGTGGTGTATCGTATCCACACCCCTGGACACCAAGTTAAACCAGGCCGCTCTATGTGCCTTCTCTGGAATCAGACATCCTCAAGGTAATCCACACCAATGGCCATTCAGATGCAGAAGCAGCTATTCTAAATGAACCAAAACAGCAAGTTGAAACCTACATTTGTTTTCTATTCTCGATAGAGGTCACCTCTGTCTGTCATCCTCACCCTTATCCACTGATCTCATCCTGTGTAATAAGTATAAGGCAAAAGTCCAAGTTCAGCTTCACACTCAGGCCTCATAGGGGAAGTAGCATCTCGCTTTCATAACTGCACATGCAGTCCACCATACTCTGAATTCTCCCACTGGGAGTCAGTTTGTTGAGGACATTCCTGGGGCGTGGAACAAAACTTGGCAGGAACACATTGTTACAAGTTAAGAATTGGCAGGTTTGGCCGGAACAGCTACTTGGACGACGTCTCCCTCAGAGTAAAATGGATTAGGGAACTGATATGGAGAGAGAGCAGGAGGTAGAGAGAGAAGCCGATGTCAGGTAACGGTCATGGTTGATGGAAGGTCAATACGAAAATTGTGGGGAGTTTAGTTTGATCAGTTGGTAGAGCAGGCACCCCGTGTACAGAGGCTACAGTCCTCATTGCTCTTGTCGCGGGTTGGGCTCCCCATCCTGATGCTTTTTGGTGCATATCATCCCCCACTCTCTCTCCCCACATTTCCTGTCTCTTTATAGCTGTGCTATGGACCTATATTTTACTTTCATAAAAACAGAGAGTCTATACTTTATTTTGTTACACAGGACAATATAATTCTCCAAAACACTGAGAGCAAGTTGGACATGCTTGATCCTGATGATACATCCTCTTCTATCTCCTCTAGCTGGTCATCAGATGGTCAATACTGCAGGGTTGTGAAAGAGAGTGGGAACTATGTGGAATGTGCCTGCTCCCACTTGTCTATCTACACGGCCTACGCAGAGTTTGTCACTCTCGCTTCCCACAACGAGGCCTTCTATGCCTCTGGATTTATCTGCATCTCAGGTACAAAAACCACTCTCCCTTTGTCTTATTTTTGTATACATCTTGTGTTCCTGTGTTCCTTCTGTTTGCCCTCTCCCTTCTATCCTCGCTCTTCTGCTTTCTCTCTGGTGCATCCCTCCACAAGAGTTTAATCTTCCATATTCCTCCCACACTGTTATAAATAACCACAGTGTATTTCTGCAAAACATTTAATTTATCATATCAATATTGGTTTAATGTTCCACACTTCTTTCTCTTCAGGCTTTGCATTGGCCATTATATCCCATGTGCTGTGCTCCCGGTTTCCTATGTTTGCTGCCAAACTTCTCACTCACATGATGTTGGGCTGCCTCGGAACCCAGGTAACACATTTCTGCTCACATCTAGTGTAATGATACATTTACTCTAAACTATAAAGGCCAGAAAGAGCTTTAAAACCCTCAGTTCACAGCTTGTGAAGGCTGCAACCACCATTATCCAACACCATCTATCTGTATTTGTTTCTTTTGCATTGACAGCGACGCATTCTCTACATTACCATTAATCTAGATTGATAGGCAACCTTTGCAAATAGTTATAGAGGCATTCATCGCTCATTTCTAAATGAATCAATAAATCAGGCACAGAAACACTGCGATGATGTGTGCAAGACAACCAGGACCTTTGTTTTAATGAATTACAAACACACCAAGGGAGATAAAAATATCACACATACATGTACTCCTTTATATTAAAATATTTCATTTACTCTGAGAGTGCATACACAAACACACTCACACTCACACACACACACACACACACACACACACACACACACACACACACACACACAGTATGCTACTGCCCCTCCTTGTTAGCCTCTAGACATGACACTGGTTCTTTCTTGGAAATGTGCATGGACGTGAATACACATCATCCAATGTCATTGGTTGCGTAGTTTGCGGGTGGCTCGTCATGACAACACAACCATGCCCCCGCACCCTCGGCCATTAAAAACGCAAGCTGTCACATAAGCAATGAGCGAGATAGATATGTGGCTGCAGGTTAGTCTCACAGCGGGTGCAGACCATCTATGTGTGTGTATATGCGTGCATGTGTGTCCATGAGGTAGTGCGGGACTGGTAATTTTCCACTGGTCCCCCCTCTCTTTGGTTGACAAACACGAGCCCCTACTAAAGCAGACTGTCACTGGGGGCTAACCACCTCGGGCTCGACCTGTTTATGGCCCAGGCAGAGCCCCTGGACCAAAAAGGGTTTTGGATGGAAAATTCCGTTCTGTTCTGTTTCCTTGTTGGTACTGTACTGCATATGAAGGCCACTTCCTTTGAGGTGCACGTGTTTGACATTGTGCTTTAGTTTAGGAAAAGCATTGGTTTGTTTCTGTGGCCTTCTAGTCAAGGATAGGTTGATGGAGGCCTGGCTGAATACCAGACTGTCAAACTGAAGCCCTTAATGAAAGTGTACTTTGTAGACAAATCAGCTGACTTTTTCTGGCTTTTCAACTCTTATTAGATATTAGTTGCCAAAAAAGGGTAAGCCAATTGTATAGAAGTAACTTAATAATTGACTCAACTTGACTCCGATGCTGGCATAAATGAATGTGTCCAGTGTGCTTTATGCTAAAACTATTTATACATTCTTGTATGATGTAGTGTTGTGTTTGGTCCTTCTTGAAGTCACCCTGCACTTAAAGTGGAAAATGTCCTACATCCAATGTTAACATGCTTCATAGAAATTACATCAAGGGTGTCCAATGCCATTTAGAAAGAGGGAGTTACGAGGGGTGACTTTAGTTTCTTACAGGGTTCCTAAGAGATTCTGATGAAGGAGGCTATCTTATTTCAATTTGTTCTCTTTTGTGTTTTTGGTGCAAAAGTAAAACCAAGCATTCAATAAATATTGCACATTTCAGTCTCAAATCCTATCATAGTATAAACGATGTAGATCATACAGATACAATAAATATTGCATTCTAAGCATAGGATTCTTAATAATCATTTTACTGCATTTGCATGAAACAAACATTAACTCATAATTCTATGTACAACTAAAGTTTGGCATTAGCCATTATTACTGAATGTCTCTATTAAGAGGGCATTTTGGACAAAAGAGGCACAAGCTGTCATATTTGAATGACAGAAACAAACTCACTCACAATGAACCTGTGAGCCTCAGTCTTGCTCGTTCCTCACCATTAATTTGAACTGTCAGGTCGATCTCCAAACTCCCCTGACACAGAGAAGGCTCTCCATCTGTGTTGGCCGGGCTGGTTTGACCATTGACGCTGCCCTCTGTGGGGAGCAAATTAAAGCTGCCTGTTTGATTTATTTCTCTTTGCAAAAGCAACAGTCAGCTAAAAAGTATAGAATAAAATCCCAAACCCTCGAGGATTGTGGTTCAATGTGGTTTTTGTTTTTAGTTTTGTTTTCTTGCTCTCAGTATTCTATCATCTTTTCTCTATTGTAGTTAGAAAATGTCAAACCAGATGTACCTTTAACTCTTAACAGATAAAAAGGATATTAACAGGCATACACAGAGTAAAAGAAGAGGAGTGAGCTTGCAGGACACAAATGAAATGGACATTTTGTGGGCTTACAAGACTATTACTGTATTACTTCTAAATGTACTGTGTATAGGTTTTTACAAAGATCTGTCTCCTCTTTGATTGTAGACATCACATATTATGACATCCTCACACACATTCACAGTGGTCTAGTTATCTGAGAGCAATACAGACAAATATGTATAACATCCTGCAGGTTTAAAGCGATGTAAAAAAAAAAAAAACTGCATCACACACAGTATGAGATATAATCTGGAGACTGACAGAAGTTTAGGTTTGTATTCATATTGTCAGACTTTCAAATGTGTTGGATGTGGGTGTTCGGGGTCGAGACACCCACAGGGTGAAAGAGAGTGGCACCGGGCTATGATATAAGCCACAGAGATATAGTATGATTTGTCCCATCCACTGCTCCAAGAGAGAATCCTCACTCTGTGACAAAATGTGAGTGTGTATGTTCCTGTGCATGTGTATGTGTGTGTGGAGCTTCTGTCTTTGTCATATAACAGGTTGTGCAGTGACAGTCTCAGGCCCTGGCCCCTCAGCAAGACAACTGAAGATTGTCTGTGCAGAGTGGAAATTTACCCTGTGCATATGTACAATAGAATTGAGCCCCACCTAGTCAAATGTGTATTTGTACGTGTGTATAAATGGTATAGTGCATAGAGGTGCATGACAGCAAGCAATAGCAAGTTCAACTTAAAGTTAATAACTGAAAAGTTTTTATATTGTCTCTTAGATTGCTGTTCACTGATTGTGTCCCTCTGGATTTTCTTTTTAACTAATTTGTGTAAATTAGCACATTATACAATATCGCAAGTCAACAGAAGTCAGACACTTTGGACTTCTTTAAAATATATATTATGCTTCATGCTGCATGTTTCAGTGGTGCTGCCATAAAGTTGGTAAATAAACTTTTGAACAGAACAAAAACACACTACATCTGATTTTGACTACAGTTACATGTGACCTTAAAACAAATAAAAGCATGTATAAACTCTTAGATCAGCTTTCATGAGGTCTTGTTGTGTACCTAAGGGTCATATCCTCTCCATGAGAACTCTGCATTAATTTAATCCAAACATAAATCAGTGAAGCAAGTCACAGCAAGCTCACAAAACCACTGACTTTTGTCTTTGGGTAGAGGCTTCTGTTAAAAACACATGATTTAATTTCTCTTTTATTTGCCTCTCTTTGTCTCCTTTTCACATTTGTCAACTCCTAAGGCGCTTCATCATTCTGTTTACAGTCACCCCTGTCCCACTCGTTACGGAATAAAGTAGAGGGTGTTTGTTTTTAAGCAGAGGCCAAGTCAATTCCCAGCAGAGGATGAAATTATTTCTCAACAGGATGTGGCATGGCTTACTGACGTCTTTCCAGAGAAAGGTGAAGAAATGGCAGAGATGAAGTGTAGACTGGCTGGCCAGTGCCCATAGAGTCGCAAAAAAAGTCAAATGAACCACTCTTACTGACTAATTCCAGGCTGCCCTTTAACTTATTTTATCTGTGCATGATTCCTTTGAAAGTCATTGCTCTTGGATCTTGTTCATTAATAACATTTAATTAGAGGGATAGTTATCAGAATAGGTTCTGGTACCTATGCAGGAAAAAAACATCTAATCTCCATCTCCATGGCAAACCAAACACAATGTGAATTGTTATCCATTGTAATTAAACAGCCCTCCACATCCCAGACAGCGTTTCCCACGGGCTCAGTATAATGTTTATCCCAGTGGTCCTAGTGCTGTATTCCAGTATATGGGACGTGTTTAGGTGACTCTTAGTTTGGTTATAAAGGATTTCCTGTTAGCTCTGGGAATGGATCCAGTTTTAAGAAGTCTGCGCCTCAATCCATACACACACACATGCACACACACATATCCACTCACTTCTAGCCCCGGATACACCGCCCACCACCCTCACATCCCGACTCTGAGCAGAATAAAGAAGCTGTGATTGCTGCGGTTGTGTTTCATAAATGTTCCTGTTTGTCGTCACTGGGTTTGTCTATGTGATGGGGGGATTTAGGTTTTGGACGAGCATGCGCGCAGTCTCAGCCTTCCAGGAAAGGGGACATACAAATCATGTTATCAGAGTCCTTACTGTGTCCTTTTCTCAACACAAGTCTTTGTCCTTTAAGTGTTCGTGCTTTTCTAGAGGAAGTTTATCTGCTCCCATTAGGACCAATCAATCATTTAATCAATAAACTTATTCTCTGGTTGACGTCAAAGAACATGCCCTTTCAATTGTGCTCTATTACCCTTCCTTAAAGTCTCTGAAAACAAAAATTTCAAAAAAAGAAACAAATTAGTAGAAAAAACAGTACAATCCAAGCTGTTGATATTCATCAAAGATATAGACCAGACACAAAAGATTCAGATGTTGGAATTAGACAGATCATATTTTTTCATATCCATGTAAATTCACAGGATTAGACCAGACTTTTTACACATCTTTTTCATTTTTTTTGATCAATCTTGACTGTACAAGGATCAAAAAATAGATATCCAGCAGAGTAGTTTGCAAAATCCTTTATCATGTCCTGAGAAACACAGGATAGCTTTCTGCTTTAAATGTTTATTTAAAGGGTATTTTAGTGTATTTTATTTTATTCTTGTTACTTCTCCTGTCCATGTTTTCTCTACTCTCTAGCGTTAGAATGTCCTAAACAACATGCCCTTCAAAACATTGTAATGCATTTCGAGGCTCATTACTGTCTTTCCGCTGAAGCTAATGGAATGCAAGCTGTGAAAGGGTATAATGTATCAGCAGACAGGGCCCGTGTTGCTGTGAGAGTGC